ACATTAGAAAGGAGTCTACTACTATATTCTCAGTTCTTTCGGTAAAGTTACGTTGAAGGGAAACAATAAAATAATAATATATATAAAACAATAAAAATTCTCACGACGTTTCGACCATAACACAAACGGTCGTCTTCAGGTGTGTCGGTTTGCATAAATTTATTTATTTTTAAACGGTGTTTTTATTTATTTTAAAAAAACGTTAGCGCCACGCGCAGCGATTCGTCAATTTATTTAGACGGACTAGTCCATCTATGTTCTGAAAAGAGGAGGGGGGAGACGAAATGTTTTTTTATGTATGCTGTCAGAAAGCCACTGTAAGCGTGAACAATCAATTAAGACCTGAAATGGTTTATCAAATCTTTCCAATGATTGCTAAGCCAGAATCCATCTTCTCGGTTGAAATTGTCTCTGTGCTTGTATATGTGGATAGCCTCATGAACGAATCTCTCATGGTAGCCAGATGGCTTACAAAGAACCTCTGTCTTGGAAAAGTCAATGTCATGTGAGCCTACTGAATTATAACAATGATCTGCCACGGCCGAGGTGTTGGTCCTACCGTGTTTAAGGTCTGCTTTGTGTTCACGAATGCGGTCCGAGACATGGCGTTTGGTTTCTCCAATGTAACTACTACCACAGAGGCAACTTAGTTTGTAGACACCAGGGTATTGTATGTCCGGAATCACATTTTTTACAGACGGAACCAGATCACGGATTTTATGTAATGTGTTGAAACGGACCTGGATCTTGTGTTTATTCAAGATTTTGGAGATCTTTTTTGTGATCTCCGCAATGTAGGGTAAAGTGATGGTTTTGAAAGGCTCCTCAAGAGGGTCCTTCTTCATGGTTTGAGTGATAGCTTTGCGGATTGTATAGTCGGAGTAACCATTAGCCTTAAGAGCTTGGTGTACGTGCTTGAGTTCACTGCCTATGTGTTCCTGGTCGGATATGCATTGGGCTCTATGATACAGAGTCTTGATGAGAGAATTCTTCTGTGATGGATGGTGGTGGGAATCCGGTTTCAGATAAGCATCCGTATGGGTAGCTTTCCTGTAGACAGAGTGGCTCATTGAACCATCAGGTCTCTTTTTAATTAGGACATCCAAAAAAGGTAGCTTGCCATCTATTTTGACTTCCATGGTAAATCTTATGGCTGGGTGTATGGAATTGATGTGGTCGAAGAATTGGTCTAGAGCAGGCCGGCCATGTGGCCAGATGACAAAAGTGTCATCCACGTACCTCTTCCATAAGGTTGGGCGCAGAGTGGCAGTCTGGATGGCGTCAGTCTCAAATTTCTCCATGAAAATGTTAGCTATAACCGGAGATAGGGGGGAGCCCATTGGGGTGCCCTCAGTTTGTTTGTAGAAAGTTCCATTCCAAGTGAAGTATGTATTGGTTAAACAGTGGCATCTTAGCGTTTTTGAGGGTTGCAGCAATTTCAGATCTTGCTACGTCTGCAGCGATGTGACCCAGGACCCTGAGAGCAACGTCTACTTGGGCAATTATATCATTAACTGGTATTTGTTTAGGTGTGACTGCAAAGTTTAGACCTTTAGCTAAAACGGATTTCAGACCATCGGAAATAGAACTGTTACTTCGATTAATTACGACTTTGTTAACGTCTAACTTTTTGGTGTGTGGGTCCGGTCTTTTGTTGAAGAGGAGGTTAAATTTGGAAATCAGGTTGTCCTTACATTTGGTCGACATAGTAGCAGCTGAAGAGGCTACATGTTCCCAATCCGATGTGGACATTGTTGCCGTCAATGATAAGTGTGATTTGTAGAGTGTCTTGTCTAACTGATCTAGTTCGGTGCGTATAAGTCTGATTTTTTCTGAGATAAGAGCTAAGCTAGTTTTGAAAAGAATACGATTAGTATTACCCCAGAGTCGCGGCATCCCTTCAGGAAGGCGAGAGACTCGATCAGCTGAGCCTTCTTATCCCGGAGTTTGTTGAAGGATCTTAAAGTTATGTGAAAACCCTCCCCGTAGAGGCGGTTAAATTTTGATTTAAAGCTTTCGTGACTGCAGTAATTCATATTCTTAGTTCTTTCGGTAAAGTCACGTTGAAGGGAAACAACAAAATAATAACAAATATATAAAACAATAAAAATTCTCACGACGTTTCGACCATAACACAAACGTTCGTCTTCAGGTGTGCCGGTTTGCATAAATTATTTATTTGTAAAGGGCGATTTATTTATTTATAACAAACGTTAGCGCCACACGCAGCGATTTGGCAGTTTATTTAGAAGGACTAGTTCAACTATGTTCTGAAAAGAGGAGGGGGGAGACAAAATTACTCTCTCACTCTCTACCACTTACCCGACACTGCTGCTATATAATAACATTGGTGGTGGTCTACTACTCTCAAACACTCTACCACTTGCCCGAGCCCGCTGCTATATAATAACATTGGTGGTGGTCTACTACTCTCAAACTCTCTACCACTTGCCCGAGTCCGCTGCTATATAATAACATTGGTGGTGGTCTACAGCTCTCACACTCTCTACCACTTACCCGAGACGGTAGAGCCCCATTCGCTAACATTAGAAAGGGGTCTACTACTCTCAAACACTCTACCACTTGCCCGAGCCCGCTGCTATAGAATAACATTGGTGGTGGTCTACTACTCTCAAACACTCTACCACTTACCCGAGCCCGCTGCTATATAATAACATTGGTGGTGGTCTACTGCTCTCAAACACTCTACCACTTACCCGAGCCCCACTGCTATAGGATAACATTGGTGGTGGTCTACTACTCTCAAACACTCTACCACTTGCCCGAGCCCGCTGCTATATAATAACATTGGTGGTGGTCTACAGCTCTCTCACTCTCTACCACTTGCCCGAGCCCGCTGCTATATAATAACATTGGTGGTGGTCTACAGCTCTCAAACACTCTACCACTTGCCCGAGCCCCGCTGCTATATAATAACATTGGTGGTGGTCTACAGCTCTCTCACTCTCTACCACTTACCCGACACTACAGTGTCCCATTTGCTAGCATTGGAAGGGGTCTACTATATCAGCATGTTTACCGTGAACCCGAGCCTCGTGCTATTTAAATCACATTGGTTGGTGGTGGTCTACTTCTCTCACAAACTCTACCACTGCTGTTGACATTGGAAGGGGTCTACTAATTCAGTCTGTCTACCACTGACCCGAGCCCCTCTGGTTTATAAACACATTGGTGGTCTACTTCTCTCACACCCCCTACCACTTACCCGCTCCAAACTCCCCCCCCATTGATTAACGTGGCACTGGGGTGGTCTACTTCTCTCACACCCCCTACCACTCGCCCGCTCCAACCACTCCCCCATTGATTAACGTGGGGCTGGGGTGGTCTACTTCTCTCACACCCCCTACCACTCGCCCGCTCCAACCTCTCCCCATTGATTAACGTGGGGCTGGGGTGGTCTACTTCTCTCACACCCCCTACCACTCGCCCGCTCCATCCTCCCCCATTGATTAACGTGGCACTGGGGTGGTCTACTTCTCTCACACCCCCTACCACTCGCCCGCTCCATCCTCCCCCCCATTGATTAACGTGGGGCTGGGGTGGTCTACTTCTCTCACACCCCCTACCACTCGCCCGCTCCAACCTCCCTCCCCATTGATTAACGTGGGGCTGGGGTGGTCTACTTCTCTCACACCCCCTACCACTCGCCCGCTCCAACCTCCCTCCCCATTGATTAACGTGGGGCTGGGGTGGTCTACTTCTCTCACACCCCCTACCACTCGCCCGCTCCAACCTCCCTCCCCATTGATTAACGTGGGGCTGGGGTGGTCTACTTCTCTCACACCCCCTACCACTCGCCCGCTCCATCCTCCCCTATTGATTAACGTGGCACTGGGGTGGTCTACTTCTCTCACACCCCCTACCACTCGCCCGCTCCAACCACTCCCCCATTGATTAACGTGGGGCTGGGGTGGTCTACTTCTCTCACACCCCCTACCACTCGCCCGCTCCAACCTCCCCCCCCATTGATTAACGTGGGGCTGGGGTGGTCTACTTCTCTCACACCCCCTACCACTCGCCCGCTCCAACCACTCCCCCATTGATTAACGTGGCACTGGGGTGGTCTACTTCTCTCACACCCCCTACCACTTACCCGCTCCAACCTCCCCCCCATTGATTAACGTGGCACTGGGGTGGTCTACTTCTCTCACACCCCCTACCACTCGCCCGCTCCAACCACTCCCCCATTGATTAACGTGGCACTGGGGTGGTCTACTTCTCTCACACCCCCTACCACTCGCCCGCTCCAACCTCCCCCCCCCCCCCCATTGATTAACGTGGCACTGGGGTGGTCTACTTCTCTCACACCCCCTACCACTCGCCCGCTCCAACCTCCCCCCCCCCCCCCCATTGATTAACGTGGCACTGGGGTGGTCTACTTCTCTCACACCCCCTACCACTCGCCCGCTCCAACCTCCCCCCCCCCCCCCCATTGATTAACGTGGCACTGGGGTGGTCTACTTCTCTCACACCCCCTACCACTCGCCCGCTCCAACCTCCCCCCCCCCCCATTGATTAACGTGGCACTGGGGTGGTCTACTTCTCTCACACCCCCTACCACTCGCCCGCTCCAACCACTCCCCCATTGATTAACGTGGCACTGGGGTGGTCTACTTCTCTCACACCCCCTACCACTCGCCCGCTCCATCCTCCCCCATTGATTAACGTGGCACTGGGGTGGTCTACTCCTCTCACACCCCCTACCACTCGCCCGCTCCATCCTCCCCCATTGATTAACGTGGCACTGGGGTGGTCTACTTCTCTCACACCCCCTACCACTCGCCCGCTCCAACCTCCCCCCCATTGATTAACGTGGCACTGGGGTGGTCTACTTCTCTCACACCCCCTACCACTCGCCCGCTCCGCCTCAGGTCAGCTTAGACAGCGAACAACAACAAGAAGATGATGATGATCGTGATGATGATGATGATGATCAGCAGATTGTCGATGCGTTAACCTGCCCCATCTGTCTGGAAAGTTTACACGAAGCCCGTGACGACTGGTAGCGGACACAAGTAAGCCACGTTATCGGTTTTATTTAAAATTGATCGTAATTATACCTCTCGATTTAAAGCTTTCGTGACTGCAGGGATTCATCTTCTTTGGTTCTTTCGGTAAAGTCACCACCACGTAGAATGACCACCACGTAGTCAGAAATTAGCATGTAACTGGGAGATTAGCATGATGTTAGTGTGAGGGATTAGCGTGTAACTGGTCACGGAAGTAGCTATGTTAAAATCAGAGTTTACATATCAACAATAGAATTTAGCATGGAAGTAGCTGTGTTAATGCGATAGATTAGCAGGATGTTAAAGTCAGTCATTAGCCTGTAACTGGGAGATTAGCATGATGTTAGTGTGAGGGATTAGCGTGTAACTGGTCACGGAAGTAGCTATGTTAAAGTCAGATTTTACATATCAACAGAATAATTTAACAATTAAGTAGCTGTGTTAATGTGATAGATTAGCAGGGTGTTAAAGTCAGAAATTAACATGTAACTGGGAGATTAGCATGATGTTAGTGTGAGGGATTAGCGTGTAGCTGGTCACGGAAGTAACTATGTTAAAGTCAGAGTTTACATATCAACAGAGGCATTTAGGATATTGACGCTAAATAACTGCAACTACCCAACTATCATACAATAAACCGATGTGAAAGAACTAAGTATAAACTACATCAATATCATCAATAAACTCAATATATTCTCCAATAAGCTGAGCTATTAACATAAAGTAACTGGGTATACACTACACTATAGAATGAATACCATATAGTAAACTGATAAAAAAAAACTAAAATATAAACTGCATCAATATAAAATTTTGATTTAAAGCTTTCGTGACTGCAGTGATTCATATTCTTGGTTCTTTCGGTAAAGTCACGTTGAAGGGAAACAATAAAATAATAAAATATATATAACAATAAAATTCTCACGACGTTTTGACTGTAACACAAACAGTCATCATCATGATGATGACAGTCGAAACGTCGTGAGAATTTTATTGTTTTATATATATTTTATTATTTTGTTTACCTTCAACGTGACGTTACCGAAAGAGCTAAGGATATACATCAATATTATCAATAAACTCAGTATACTCTCCAATCAGCTGAGCTACTAACAATAAGTCGTTAAACATTACAATTCTACGTCGAAAAAAAGGTGGCGGTTTCTTTTTGTCCTCAACGTTAGCACCACGGAGAGCGACGAGCTTTGTTCAGACGGACGAGTCCATCTACGCTCGGAACGGAGGAGGGGGGGGAGAGAGAGAGAAACAGACATGATACAGCTGCTCTGTCCTGTGTTGCGTTACAACTATGCTATAAACTAGCCATTGGGCTACCGTGAGAGATTCGTTCACGAGGCTATCCACGTGTACAAGCACAGAGACAATTTCAACCGAGAAGATGGATTCTGGCTTAGCAATCATTGGAAGGATTTGATAAACCATTTCGGGTCTTAATTGATTGTTCACGCTTACGGTGGCTTTCAGACAGCGTGCATTAATTTTTCGTCTCCCCCCCTCCTCTTTTCAGAACATAGATGGACTCGTCCATCTAAACAAACTGCCAAATCGCTATCCGTGGTGCTAACGTTTTATAAGTAAATAAATACATTGTTTAAAAATCAATAAATAAATGCAAACCGCCACTTCTTTCAAATGTTTCTTGCCGTTGGTTTTTCACACCTGATGATGACCGTTTGCGTTACGGTCGAAACGTCGTGAGATTTTTTATTGTTTTATACATATATTGTATTATTTTATTGTTTCCCTTCAACGTGGTGACTTTACCGAAAGAACCAAGAATATATAACAATAAGTCGTTATACATTACAATTCTACGTCGAAAAAAAGGTGGCGGTTTCTTTTTGTCCTCAACGTTAGCACTACGGAGAGCGACGAGCTTTGTTCAGACGGACGAGTCCATCTACGCTCGGAACGGAGGAGGGGGGGAGAGAGAGAGAAACACGATGCAGCTGCTCTGCCCTGTGTTGCATAGATGGACTCGTCCATCTGAACAAAGCTCGTCGCTATCCGTGGTGTTAACGTTGAGGACAAAAAATAAACCGCCACCTTTTTTCGACGTAGAATTGTAATGTATAACGACTTATTGTCAGTAGCTCACGCTGATTGGAGAGTATATTGAGTTTAATGATAACATTGATTTAGTTTATATTTTAGTCTTTTTTTTATCTGTTTACTATATGGTATTCATTATATAGTGTAGTGTATACCCAGTTACTTTATGTCAATAGCTCAACTTACTGAGTAATATATTGAGTACATTTATTATATTGATGTAGTTAATACTTAGTTCTTTCACATCGGTTTATTGTATGATAGTTAGGTAGTTGCAGTTATTTAGCGTCAATATACCAAATGCCTCTGTTGAAATGTAAACTCTGACTTTAGCATAGCTACTTCCGTGACCAGTTACATGCTAATCCCTCACACTAACATCATGCTAATCTCCCAGTTACATGCTAATTTCTGACTTTAACATCCTGCTAATCCAACACTTTAACACAGCTACAGTGAGGAAAAATTATTTGATCCCCTGCTGATTTTGTACGTTTGCCCACTGACAAAAAAATGATCAGTCTATAATTTAATGGTAGGTTTATTTGAACAGTGAGAGACAGAATAACAACAACAAAAATCCAGAAAAACGCATGTCAAAAATGTGATAAATTGATTTGCATGTTAATGAGGGAAATAAGTATTTGACCCCTCTGCAAAACATGACTTAGTACTTGGTGGCAAAACCCTTGTTGGCAATCACAGAGGTCAGACGTTTCTTGTAGTTGGCCACCAGGTTTGCACACATCTCAGGAGGGATTTTGTCCCACTCCGCTTTGCAGATCGTCTCCAAGTCATTAAGGTTTCGAGGCTGACGTTTGGCAACTCGAACCTTCAGCTCCCTCCACAAGTTTTCTATGGGATTAAGGTCTGGAGACTTGCTAGGCCACTCCAGGACCTTAATGCGCTTCTTCTTGAGCCACTCCTTTGTTGCCTTGGCCGTGTTTTGGGTCATTGTCATGCTGGAATACCCATCCACGACCCATTTTCAATGCCCTGGCTGAGGGAAGGAGGTTGTTCTCACCCAAGATTTGACGGTACATGGCCCCGTCCATCGTCCCTTTGATGCGGTGAAGTTGTCCTGTCCCCTTAGCAGAAAAACACCCCCAAAGCATAATGTTTCCACCTCCATGTTTGACGGTGGGGATGGTGTTCTTGGGGTCATAGGCATCATTCCTCCTCCTCCAAACACGGCGAGTTGAGTTGGTGCCAAAGAGCTTCATTTTGGTCTCATCTGACCACAACACTTTCACCCATTTGTCCTCTGAATCATTCAGATGTTCATTGGCAAACTTCAGACGGGCATGTATATGTGCTTTCTTGAGCAGGGGGACCTTGCGGGCGCTGCAGGATTTCAGTCCTTCACGGCGTAGTGTGTTACCAATTGTTTTCTTGGTAACTATGGTCCCAGCTGCCTTGAGATCATGGACAAGATCCTCCGGTGTAGTTCTGGGCTAATTCCTCACCGTTTTCATGATCATTGCAATTCCACGAGGTGAGATCTTGCATGGAGCCCCAGACCAAGGGAGATTGACAGTTCTTTTGTGTTTCTTCCATTTGCGAATAATCGCACCAACTGTTGTCACCTTCTCACCAAGCTGCTTGGCAATGGTCTTATAGCCCATTCCAGCCTTGTGTAGGTCTACAATCTTGTCCCTGACATCCTTGGAGAGCTCTTTGGTTTTGGCCATGGTGGAGAGTTTAGAATCTGATTGATTGATTGCTTCTGTGGACAGGTGTCTTTTATACAGGTAACAAGCTGAGATTAGGAGCACTCCCTTTAAAAGTGTGCTCCTAATCTCAGGTCGTTGCCTGTATAAAAGACACCTGGGAGCCAGAAATCTTTCTGATTGAGAGGGGGTCAAATACTTATTTCCCTCATTAAAATGCAAATCAATTTATAACATTTTTGACATGCGTTTTTCTGGATTTTCTTGTTGTTATTCTGTCTCTCACTGTTCAAATAAACGTACCATTAAAATTATAGACTGATCATTTCTTTGTCAGTGGGCAAAAGTACAAAATCAGCAGGGGATCAAATACTTTTTTCCCTCACTGTACATCTGCAGAACGTGAAGAACCAGTGGCATCTACATCTACAGAATGTGAAGAACCAGTGGCATCTACATCTGTAGAACGTGAAGAACCAGTGGCATCTATATCTGTAGAACGTGAAGAGCCAGTGGCATCTACATCTGTAGAACGTGAAGAACCGGTTAAATATTGACTCAATACGGACGGAGTGGACTCTGCAAGTTGGGGCCTTTATTCATTCAGGTGGAGGTGGTGGTGATGGTGGTGATGGTGGTACCGACCACCAGACCCACAGGCCCATCACACAAACCCATAGACCCATCACACAGACCAATATACTCACAGAGACCCATTGACTCATAAAGACCCGTCGCTCCTCTGCCCTCCGCTATTGTTGGAGGGCGACTGCCTCCAACTGCCCAGTAGCGTCCTTCACGAGCCTCCTCCTCCACAGAGGCCGATCTTGACACCGCTGGTACCAGTCATCGGCAAGTCCACTCAGCTCCACATCCTCCTGTACCACGTCACTCCATCTCGTCTCTAGCCCGTACCGCGCCCGCCTAGCCCCCTCGATCCGGCCGAACAAAAGCTGTTTTGGCATGCGGTGGCTGGGCATGCGGGCTACATGACCCAGCCAATGCCGCCTTGCCTGCCGGAGGAGCTCACCGATGGGACTGTGCCCAGATCTTTCAAGGATTTGTGAGCTCCTTACACAATCCAGCCTGTGCAGGACCGCCCTTTCCTGAAACCGCATTGGGGCTCCGCAAGCCTCTCCTCAGCGTGCCTGGCAAGGCGATGTTGAATAATCCTTGCCAGCACCTTTCCCGGCACACTGAGGAGTGAAATGCCCCTGTAGTTGTTACATTTTGTGCGGTCCCCCTTCTTAAAGAGGGGGACCACCAGGGCATCCTTCCAATCCTGCGGAACCTGTCCAGTGGTCCAGACTGTTGTTATGATGTCATATAGGGCAGTCTGTGCAAAAACTCCACCCTCCCTCAGCATTTCGCTTGGAAGATCATCTCTGCCCGCTGCCTTTCCTGGTCTCAGACTCTGGATCGCCCTCAGTACTTCCTCAACAGATGGCACCTCAGCCAGCCACTCACAGGGGGTGACTTCTTCCAATATTTGAGGCACAGCAGCCTCAGCAGGGTCATCCTCACTTTGTGCCACGATGTTTTCCTGGCTGAGGGATTTTCCCTCCCCCAGCACCTCAGAAATGTTCAGCAAATCTGAAAACCTACTCCTGGGGGTCGGAGATTGGATCACCATTTTTTCCCCTTATGATGGTAATAGGTGTGGCGCTGCAGGTTACTTTTTTGATGGAGTTAAATAGAGATTTGTGATCGCGGGCCACTGAGGCAGACTCCATCTCCTCAGCAACCCGTGATCACCACCCATCCTTGCAGCGCCTCACGGCTCTCTGAACCTCCGAGCGAAGGCTGCGGTAAGCCTCCTCATTCTCTGACATGGGATGCTGTAGACAATGAGAGTGGGCCTGTCGCTTTTTCTCAACCATCCTGAACACCTCCTCTGTCAGCCAGGGTCTCTGGGGAGGTCTGGACCGCGTACCCAAAGCAGCCATTGCAGCTGCAGTCCTAAACCTCGCCCATTTACCCTCGACATCAGGAGGAGTGGGGAACGATGCCAATCCCAGCCGCAAGCGATGATTAAATTCTCGCTTGCAACTTTCATCAGATAACTGAGACCAGGCCACTTTAGGTTGGAATGGGGTCCTGGGTGTACACCCACCACCGGAGTGGAAGAATGGCAGGCGCATCTTACAGATGACTAGTCGATGGTCAGAGGGCAGATCAGCTCCACGGTAGGTCCTGGTGTCAAGGACATGGGCTCGCATCCGCTGGTCCGTCACTATGTAGTCCAGCAGATGTTCTTTCTTGGACCTGGCATGCATCCATGATGTTGTGTGGATGCGCCGATGCCGGAATAGCGTGTTGGTAATTACAAGCCCATGGCCTGCACAAAAATCTAGCAGCCTCCTACCGTTGTTATTGAGCTGATCTGGCCCATGCCCTCCAATCACTCCAGACCAGGTGCCAGCATCATGACCAACTCGGGCATTGAAGTCACCCAACATGATGACTCTATCCCGAGGTGCCACTTTAGCCAGCACCTGTGACAGGAGGTCATAGAAGGCATCTGACTCATCGGCTTTGCCTGCATCCCTCCACGGATGTTCGTCTTCGGTGGGGGCATAAGTAACCACGACCACCACTCCTCGCCTCCGGTTGATGGGAAGGCGAGCCCAAAGTAGCCTGGGGCTTACAGCTTCCCACACCTCACCGCCACGCTCCCACGCCCCCTTCATTCTTTTGTTCAAAAGAAGAGCCACACCCTGTTGTTTGGCAGTCTGCTGCCCCGAGTAGAGGACTGTCCACCCCTCATGGTGGCAGGAGCCAGAACCGGTCCACCGGACCTCCTGAATGCCACAGAGATTCAGGCGGTACCGGTCCAGCTCCCGACAGAGGAGTGGCAGCCTCTCCTCCGCAGTGAGCGTTCGAACCTTCCACGTGGCCATCCGTAGTGGCTTTTCGTTGTTTCTGGAGGAGCCCCGAGGGTAGAGATTCAATCTCCTGGCTCCGCCAATTGGGGGTTGGCCAGGAGACGTCATAGACGCCTGGCCCCCCGGGGCCTCCGGCACAAGCTTATTAGTTACATATTTCAGTTTAACTCGTGGTTTAGTGGTAATTAATTGAAGGTGGAGGGGTTACCAGCCCCTCGCACCCGTCCAGAGCCCCTGTTTAGCCCCTGTGGTGGACACAGACGCCATGAGGGGAGGAGCCAATCGGAATTGGACCTCCCCCCACAGCACTGTCCACGACAGAGTTGCCCGTCCGGCACCGCGAGGAGGTAACCACCCTACACACACAAAGACAAAGATCCCCCGTATAGCCTTAACAGACTCACACACACACACACCACCCTACACACACACCACCACACACACACAAAGACAAAGACAAAGATCCCCCATATAGCCTTAACAGACTGTAGGGGCAAGTGCTGTTAGCGAGCACCTATGAAGGCCGGAACGGTACACGAGGGGGTGGGTGGCCAGCACCACGCCCGACCGCCTTTGTCTCCCTAGTGGCAATGTTTACACACCGCACCAGGTACTCATTTGAGGCTGAGTCGACCTAGGGGAGGCCTGGGACCGGTTCAGATAATCGTCACTGGTGTTGGCCGTGAGCGGGAATCGAACCCGGGTCGCCAGGTTCATAGCGCAGCGCGCTAACCGCTACACTACCGCTCCCCACCACACACACACCACCACCACACACACCACCACACACAAACTAAACCACACACACATCACCACACACACACCACCATACACACCACCACACACACCACCACACACACCACCACACACACCACACACACCACACACACACAACACCACCACACAAACTAAACCACACACAGATCATCATCATCATCCTCCTCCTCCTCCTCGTCCTCCTCATCGTGACAAATCAATCCTCCGCCCCTCCTCCTCCGCTGCCCGGTGCTCTTCTTCCTCCTCCTCCTTCTCGGCCGACTCGCCGCCGGTGCCGGTGCCGGTGCCGGTGCCGGTGCCGGCGGTGCCGCCGGTGCCAGTGCCAGTGCCGCGGTGCCGGGCAGCAGCGGTCGGAGGCTGCGAGCGAGTGCCGTGCCGGTGAGGTCCTTGCGCGTCAGCATCCCGGCGGGGCGGCCCTGGCCGTCGAGCACCACCAAGTGCCGGAGTCCCAGCGTACGGAACACGAGGTAGGCGCGCTGCAGCGAGAAGCGGCGCGGCACGGACGCCGCCGATTGGTTCACGTAGGGGTACTGTGGGGGTGGGGGGGGGGTGGGGGGGGGGGGGGGTGGGTGAGTGGGGGGGTGGGTGGGGGGGTGGGGGGGTGAGTGGGTGAGTGAGTGGGTGGGTGGGTGAGTGAGTGAGTGGGTGAGTGAGTGAGTGGGTGAGTGAGTGAGTGGGGGGGGTAGGTGAGTGAGTGGGTGAGTGAGTGAGTGGGTGAGTGGGTGAGTGAGTGAGTGGGTGAGTGAGTGGGTGAGTGAGTGAGTGGGTGAGTGAGTGAGTGAGTTGGTGAGTGAGTGAGTGGGTGAGTGAATGAGTGAGTGGGTGAGTGAATGAGTGGGTGGGTGAGTGAATGAGTGAGTGAGTGAGTGAATGAGTGAGTGGGTGAGTGAGTGAATGAGTGAGTGAGTGAATGAGTGGGTGGGTGAGTGAATGAGTGAGTGAATGAGTGAGTGAGTGAATGAGTGAGTGAGTGAGTGAATGAGTGAGTGAATGAATGAGTGAGTGAATGAGTGAGTGAATGAGTGAGTGAGTGAATGAGTGAGTGAGTGAGTGAATGAATGAGTGAGTGAATGAGTGAGTGAGTGAATGAGTGAGTGGGTGAGTGAGTGAGTGAATGAGTGAGTGAGTGAATGAGTGAGTGAGTGAATGAGTGAGTGAGTGAATGAGTGAGTGAGTGAATGAGTGAGTGAATGAGTGAGTGAGTGAGTGAGTGAATGAATGAGTGAGTGAATGAGTGAGTGAGTGAATGAGTGAGTGAGTGAGTGAGTGAATGAGTGAGTGAATGAATGAGTGAGTGAATGAGTGAGTGGGTGAGTGAGTGAGTGAATGAGTGAGTGAGTGAATGAGTGAGTGAGTGAATGAGTGAGTGAGTGAATGAGTGAGTGAGTGAATGAGTGAGTGAATGAGTGAGTGAATGAGTGAGTGAATGAGTGAGTGAGTGAATGAGTGAATGAGTGAGTGAGTGAATGAGTGAGTGAGTGAGCGGGTGAGTGAATGAGTGAGTGAATGAGTGAGTGAGTGAGCGGGTGAGTGAGTGAATGAGTGAGTGAATGAGTGAGTGAATGAGTGAGTGAGTGAGCGGGTGAGTGAGTGAATGAGTGAGTGAATGAGTGAGTGAATGAGTGAGTGAGTGAGTGAATGAGTGAGTGAGTGAATGAGTGAGTGGGTGAGTGAGTGGGTGAGTGAGTGAGTGAATGAGTGAATGAGTGAGTGAGTGAATGAGTGAGTGAGTGAGTGAGTGAATGAGTGAGTGAGTGAATGAATGAGTGAGTGAGCGGGTGAGTGAGCGGGTGAGTGAGTGAGTGAATGAGTGAATGAGTGAGTGAGTGAATGAGTGAATGAGTGAGTGAGTGAATGAATGAGTGAGTGAGTGAGCGGGTGAGTGAGCGGGTGAGTGAGTGAGTGAGTGAATGAGTGAATGAGTGAGTGAGTGAATGAGTGAATGAGTGAGTGAATGAGTGAGTGAATGAGTGAGTGAATGAGTGAATGAGTGAGTGAATGAGTGAGTGTGTGATTGAATGAGTGAGTGAATGAGTGAGTGAGTGAATGAATGAGTGAGTGAATGAGTGAATGAGTGAATGAGTGAGTGAGTGAGTGAATGAGTGAATGAGTGAGTGAGTGAATGAGTGAATGAGTGAATGAATGAGTGAGTGAGCGGGTGAGTGAGCGGGTGAGTGAGTGAATGAGTGAATGAGTGAGTGAGTGAATGAGTGAATGAGTGAGTGAATGAGTGAGTGAATGAGTGAGTGAGTGAGTGAATGAGTGAGTGAATGAATGAGTGAGTGAGTGAGTGAATGAGTGAGTGAATGAGTGAGTGAGTGAATGAGTGAGTGAGTGAATGAGTGAGTGAATGAGTGAGTGAGTGAATGAGTGAGTGAGTGAATGAGTGAATGAGTGAGTGAGTGAGTGAATGAGTGAGTGAGTGAATGAGTGAATGAGTGAGTGAGTGAATGAGTGAATGAGTGAGTGAATGAGTGAATGAGTGAGTGAGTGAGTGAATGAGTGAGTGAGTGAGTGAGTGAATGAGTGAGTGAATGAGTGAGTGAGTGAATGAGTGAGTGAGTGAATGAGTGAGTGAGTGAATGAGTGAGTGAATGAGTGAGTGAGTGAATGAGTGAGTGAATGAGTGAGTGAATGAGTGAATGAGTGAATGAATGAGTGAGTGAATGAGTGAGTGAGTGAGTGAATGAGTGAATGAGTGAATGAATGAGTGAGTGAGTGAGTGAATGAGTGAGTGAGTGAATGAGTGAATGAGTGAGTGAGTGAATGAGTGAATGAGTGAGTGAATGAGTGAATGAATGAGTGAGTGAATGAGTGAGTGGGTGGGTGAGTGAATGAGTGAGTGAGTGAGTGAATGAGTGAATGAGTGAGTGAGTGAATGAGTGAATGAGTGAGTGAATGAGTGAGTGAATGAGCGGGTGAGTGAGCCACTCACCAGGTTGACGAAGCTTCGTGAGTACCGTGCCTGAGTTGTGTACCTCAGCAGCATCGCGTGGACGGCCGCCGGATTCGTGATCTTGTCCCCATTGATCTGCAGACACACGGACACGCGGACACTCGGACACGTGGACACACGGACACTCGGACACTCGGACACGCGGACGCTCGGACACTCGGACACGCGGACACTCGGACGCTCGGACGCTCGGACACTCGGACACTCGGACACTCGGACGCTCGGACGCTCGGACGCTCGGACACGCGGACACTCGGACACTCGGACACTCGGACACGTGGACACTCGGACACGCGGACACTCGGACACGCGGACACTCGGACACGCGGACACTCAGACGCTCGGACGCTCGGACACTCGGACACGCGGACACGCGGACACTCGGACACGCGGACACTCGGACACGCGGACGCTCGGACGCTTGGACGCTCGGACACACGGACACTCGGACACTCGGACACGTGGACACGCGGACACTCGGACACGCGGACACTCGGACACGTGGACACGCGGACACGCGGACACGCGGACACTCGGACACGCGGACACGCGGACGCTCGGACGCTCGGACACTCGGACACGCGGACACGCGGACACTCGGACACTCGGACACGCGGACACACGGACACACGGACACTCGGACACACGGACACAAAGACACACGGACACTCGGACGCTCGGACACGCGGACACTCGGACACTCGGACACTCGGACACGTGGACACGCGGACACTCGGACACGCGGACACTCGGACACGCGGACACTCGGACACGTGGACACGCGGACACGCGGACACGCGGACACTCGGACACACGGACACTCGGACACGCGGACGCTCGGACGCTCGGACGCTCGGACACTCGGACACGCGGACACGCGGACACTCGGACACTCGGACACGCGGACACGCGGACACTCGGACACGCGGACACGCGGACACAAAGACACTCGGACACTCGGACACACGGACACTCGGACACTCGGACACACGGACACTCGGACACGCGGACACGCGGACACACGGACACTCGGACACGCGGACACGAGGACACGCGGACACACGGACACACGGACACGCGGACACGCGGACACTCGGACACGCGGACACAAAGACACTCGGACACTCGGACACTCGGACACGCGGACACTCGGACACGCGGACACAAAGACACTCGGACACTCGGACACACAGACACTCGGACACGCGGACACTCGGACACACAGACACTCGGACCCTCGGATACTCGGACACGCGGACACTCGGACACTCGGACACACGGACACTCGGACACTCGGACACACGGACACTCGAACACGCGGACACTCGGACACTCGGACACTCGAACACGCGGACACACGGACACTCGGACACTCGGACACGCGGACACTCGGACACGCGGACACTCGGACACTCGGACACGCGGACACTCGGACACGCGGACACGCGGACACGCGGACACTCGGACACTCGGACACGCGGACACTCGGACACTCGGACACTCGGACACGCGGACACTCGGACACTCGGACACTCGGACACGCGGACACGCGGACACGCGGACACTCGGACACGCGGACACTCGGACACGCGGACACAAAGACACTCGGACACTCGGACACGCGGACACTCGGACACTCGGACACGCGGACACGCGGACACTCGGACACTCGGACACGCGGACACTCGGACACTCGGACACGCGGACACACAGACACTCGGACACTCGGACCCTCGGACACTCGGACACTCGGACACACGGACACACAGACACTCGGACACACAGACACTCGGACACTCGGACACTCTCCCCTTGTCTCTCTCTCCACTCTTCCCCATCCGCCTCCCTCCCTGCCTCCCATTTACCCTCCCCCCTCCCCTCTATCCCCTCCCCCCATCCCCCTCCCCCTGCCCCCTCCCCTCCCCCCTCACCCCTCCCCCGCACCATCTGGTAGTCGAGCACCACTCTGGGTTCCTGGTCGCGCGGTTCCTCCGGTTCCAGGAGGACCTCCTGGGATATGATCATGATGAGCTCCAGCCTGAACACGTGCCACCCACAGACACAACACGTGCCACCCACAGACACAACACGTCACCCACTGGCTCACCCACTGATCATGATGAGCTCCAGCCTGAACACGTGCCACCCACAGACACAACACGTGCCACCCACAGACACAACACGTCACCCACTCGCTCACCAACCCACTCGCTCACCCATTGATCATGATGAGCTCCAGCCTGAACACGTGCCACCCACAGACACAACACGTGCCACCCACAGACACAACACGTGCCACCCACAGACACAACACGTGCCACCCACAGACACAACACGTCACCCAATCGCTCACCAACCCACACGCTCACCCATTGATCATGATGAGCTCCAGCCTGAACACGTGCCACCCACAGACACAACACGTGCCACCCACAGACACAACACGTGCCACCCACAGACACAACACGTCACCCACTCGCTCAACAACCCACTCGCTCACCCACTGATCATGATGAGCTCCAGCCTGAACACGTGCCACACACAGACACAACACGTGCCACCCACAGACACAACACGTCACCCACTCGCTCACCTATCCACTCGCTTACCCGCCCACTGATCATGATGAGCTCCAGCCTGAACACGTGCCACCCACAGACACAACACGTGCCACCCACAGACACAACACGTGCCACCCACAGACACAACACGTGCCACCCACAGACACAACACTCACCCACTCGCTCACCCACCCGCCCGCTCACCCACTGATCACGATGAGCTCCAGCCTGAACACGTGCCACCCACAGACACAACAAGTGCCACCCACAGACACAACACGTGCTACCCACAGACACAACACGTCACCCACTCGCTCACCCACCCGCCCGCTCACCGACCCACTCGCTTACCCACCCTCTGATCATGATGAGCTCCAGCCTGAACACGTGCCACCCACAGACACAACACTCACCCACTCGCTCACCCACCCACTCGCTCGCCCACTCACTCACTCACTCACCCACCAACTCACTCACCCACCAACTCACCCACTCACTCACTCACCCACTCACTCACCCACCCACTCACCCACTCACCCACTCACTCACTCACCCACTCACTCACCCACTCACTCACTTACCCACTCACTCACTCACCCACTCACTCACCCACTCACTCACTCACCCACCCACCCACTCACTCACCCACCCACTCACCCACTCACTCACTCACCCACTCACTCACCCACTCACTCACTCACCCACTCACCCACGCACTCACTCACCCACCCACTCACTCACTCACCCACCCACTCACTCACCCACCCACTCACCCACTCAGTCACCCACTCACTCACCCACTCACCCACGCACTCACTCACCCACTCACTCACCCACTCACCCACTCACCCACTCACCCACCCACTCACTCACCCACGCACTCACTCACCCACTCACTCACCCACTCACCCACTCACCCACTCACTCACTCACCCACTCACCCACCCACTCACTCACCCACTCACCCACCCACCCACTCACTCACCCACTCACTCACTCACCCACTCACCCACTCACTCACTCACCCACTCACTCACCCACTCACTCACCCACCCACCCACTCACCCACTCACTCACCCACCCACCCACCCACTCACCCACTGACCCACCCACTCACTCACCCACTCACTCACCCACTCACTCACTCACACACTCACTCACTCACCCACTCACTCACTCACCCACTCACCCACGCACTCACTCACTCACTCACCCACTCACCCACCCACCCACTCACCCACCCACTCACCCACTCACCCACTCACTCACCCACCCACTCACCCACTCACTCACTCACCCACTCACTCACCCACCCACTCACCCACCCACTCACTCACCCACTCACTCACCCACTCACCCACTGACCCACTCACTCACCCACCCACTCACTCACCCACCCACTCACTGACCCACTCACCCACTCACTCACCCACTCACCCACTGACCCACTCACTCACCCACCCACTCACTCACCCACCCACTCACTCACCCACTCACTCACTCACCCACCCTCTCACTCACTCACCCACCCTCTCACCCACTCATCCACCCACCCACCCCACATCTCACCGCGTGATGGTACCGAAGAACACCTCCTTGCCTCGGCACCCCCTCCCTCCCCGCGCCTCCTCCTTCCCATCCACCTCCTCCCCGTCCTCCTCCTCCCCGTCCTCCTCCTCCTCGTCACGAGGGGGTGCCCTGACCACGGGGTAGGCTCCGTGCGGCGCGTCCAGTAGGAGCCGAGCGATGTTGGCGACGCTCTCCCGCACCGCGAGGATCCGCACGCCACGGGACATCGCCGCGCCAGCGGTCAGCAGCTCCAGGTTCACCCTGGCGGGGTCGGTGGGGGACACGCGTTGGTACACACACACTGGTACACACACACACATACACACTGACACACACACACACTGACACACACACACTGACACACACACACTGGTACACACACACACACACTGACACATACACTGACACACACACTGACACACACACACTGGTACGCACACACTGACACACACTGACACACACTGGCACACACACACACACTGGTACGCACACACATACCCACTCACCCACCCACACACACATCCACCAACCCACCCACCCACCACTCACCAACCCACTCACCAACCCACCCAGCCACTCACCCACTAACCCACCAACCCACCCACTCACCTCACCCACCCACTTCACCCACCCACACACCCACACACCCACACACCCACCCACACCAACCCACCACTCACCAACCCACCCACCAGCAACCCACCCAGCAACCCACCCACACACCCACCCACTCACCTACTCACCCACCCACTCACCCACCCACCAACCCACCCACTCACCAACTCACCCACTCACCAACCCACCCACCATCCCAGCCACCCACCCAGCCACTCACCCACCAACTCACCCAGTCACCCACCCACCCAGCCACTCACTCACCCACCAACTTACCCAGCCACCCACCCAGCCACTCACCCACCCACTCACCCACCCACCCACCAACCCAGCCACCCACCCAGCCACTCACTCACCCACCAACTCACCCACCCAGCCACTCACTCACTCACCCACCCAGCCACTCACCCACCAACTCACCCAGTCACCCACCCACCCACCCAGCCACTCACTCACCCACCAACTCACCTAGCCACCCACCCAGCCACTCACCCACCCACTCACCCACCCACCCACCATCCCAGCCACCCACCCAGCCACTCACTCACCCACCCACTCACCCACCCACCCACCAACCCAGCCACCCACCCAGCCACTCACTCACTCACCCACCAACTCACCCACCCAGCCACTCACTCACCCACCCAGCCACTCACCCACCAACTCACCCAGTCACCCACCCACCCAGCCACTCACTCACCCACCAACTCACCCAGCCACCCACCCAGCCACTCACTCACCCACTCACCCACCATCCCAGCCACCCACCCAGCCACTCACTCACCCAGCCACTCACCCACCCACTCACCCACCAACCCAGCCACCCACCCAGCCACTCACTCACCCACTCACCCACCCACCCACTCACCCACCCACCCAGCCACTCACTCTCTCTTGTTGAAGATGACCCGTGGCTCTGAGTCGAGGTAGGGCGTCTGCTTCTGGTCCAGCAGTGCGTGGTAGAGGGGCCGTGTGAAACGGTCTCCCACCGCCTTCGACACCATCACGGCCAGCATGATGGGCAGCAGGAACTGCACGTCGTTCGTGATCTCCACCTTGTCACACACGCGAGATTAATAAAACTAAAGTTGATGTTGCTTGCCTGGATTCCTGTCTGCCTGCCTGCCTGCCAGTGTTCCTGTCTGGTTGGCTAGATAGCTCGATGATAGATTCCTGCCTGCCTGTCTGGCAGGCTAGCTAGATAATAGATTCCAGCCTGATTGCCTGTCTGGCTGGCTGGATGGCTGTCTGGCTGGCTGGATTCCTGTCTGCCTGGCAGGCTAGCTAGATGATAGATTCCAGCCTGATTGGCTGTCTGGCTGGCTGGATGGCTGTCTGGCTGGGTGGCTGTCTGGCTGGCTGGATTCCTGTCTGCCTGGCAGGCTAGCTAGATGATAGATTCCTGCCTGATTGGCTGTCTGTCTGGCTGGCTGGCTGGATTCCTGTCTGCCTGGCAGGCTAGCTAGATGATAGATTCCTGTCTGCCTGGCTGGCTAGATGATAGATTCCTGCCTGATTGGCTGTCTGGCTGGCTGGCTGGGCTCCTGTGTTCTTGTCTGGCTGGCTGGCTGGCTAGATAGCTAGATGATAGATTCCTGCCTGATTGGCAGGCTGGCTGGCTGGATTCCTGTCTGCCTGGCTGGCTGGGTGGGTTTCTGTCTGCCTGACTGGCTGGGTGGGTTCCTGTCTGCCTGGCTGGCTGGGTGGCTGTCTGTCTGGCTGGCTGGGTGGCTGTCTGGCTGGCTGGCTGGGTGGCTGTCTGGCTGGCTGGCTGGCTGTCTGCCTGGCTGGCTGGGTGGCTGTCTGGCTGGCTGGCTGGGTGGCTGTCTGTCTGGCTGGCTGGGCTCCTGGCTGGCTTGCTGGGCTCCCTCATTAGACCTCCTTTGCCAGTGCCAAAATGTAATAATAATAGGGTTTCCCCCTTTTTTTATCTGGCAACAAAACTGAAACCGTTTTACGAGGATTCATGTTACTGCATCAACCACAATACCTGCAGTCAAAATGCTCGACCAGATGGCGTCATCTGGTCGAGCACCAATTGGGTCGAGGCTCAAAAGAAAGCCGTCCCTTGGTGTGGGCCAATCAGTTTCAAGGACAATGCATCATCACATTATCATAGTATGTTTTTCGTTTGCATTTTGACTGCAGGTATTGTGGTTAATGCAGACATGAATCCTTGTAAAAAGGTTTCAGTTTTGTTGCCAGAAAAAAAAGGGGGAAAAACCCTATTATTATGGCTGGATTCCTGACTGCCTGGCTGGCTGGGCTCCTGGCTGGCTGGCTGGATTCCTGTCTGCCTGGCTGAATAGCTAGATGATAGATTCCTGCCTGGCTAGCTGAATAGCTAGATGCTAGATTCCTGCCTGGCTAGCTAGATTCTCTGGCTGGATTCCTGCCTGCCTGCATGCCCGGCTGGATTCATATCTGCCTGGCTGGCTAGACGTGGTGAGCGACACGTGTTGAGTGACACGTGGTGAGTCACTGCTCACCATGATGGCGGTGAGCGACATGGTGAGTGGTGAGTCACAGCTCACCATGATGACGGTGAGCGACATGGTGAGTGGTGGCTCACCATGATGGCGGTGAGCGACATGGTGAGTGGTGAGTCACAGCTCACCATGATGACAGTGAGCGACATGGTGAGTGGTGGCTCACCATGATGACGGTGAGCGACATGGTGAGTGAGGCTCACCATGATGACGGTGAGCGACATGGTGAGTGGTGAGTCAGGCTCACCATGATGATGGTGAGCGACATGGTGAGTGGTGGCTCACCATGATGACGGTGAGCGACATGGTGAGTGGTGATTCACCATGATGACAGTGAGCGACGTGGTGAGTGGTGAGTGGTGGCTCACCATGATGACGGTGAGCGACATGGTGAGGCGTGAGACTCCGCTGAAGAAGGAGGCTGCCCCGATCAGAGCGAACGCGCCAGGGTCCAGCCAGGCCCAGTAGCCCACGGGCAGTGAGAGGCTCACAGCGGCCTGCACCAGAAGCACCCCTAGCAGGCGGCCGTACAGCGCACCCACGTACCTGGTAGGGGTAGGGGTGGGGTGGTAGGGGTGGAGTGGTAGGGGTGGTAGGGGTGGGGTGGTAAGGGTGGAGTGGTAGGGGTAGGGGTGGAGTGGTAGGGGTAGGGGTGGGGTGGTAGGGGTGGAGTGGTAGGGGTGGTAGGGGTGGGGTGGTAAGGGTGGAGTGGTAGGGGTAGGGGTGGTAGGGGTGGAGTGGTAGGGGTGGTAGGGGTAGGGGTGGGGTGGTAGGGGTGGAGTGGTAGGGGTGGAGTCGTAGGGGTGGGGTGGTAGGGGTAGGGGTGGGGTGGTAGGGGTAGAGTGGTAGGGGTAGAATGGTAGGGGTGGAGTGGTAGGGGTGGAGTGGTAGGGGTGGAGTGGTGAGGGTAGATTGGTAGGGGTGGAGGGGTAGGGGCAGATTGGTAGGGGTAGAGTGGTAGGGGTGGAGTGGTAGGGGTGGAGTGGTAGGGGTGGAGTGGTAAGGGTAGATTGGTAGGGGTGGAGTGGTAGGGGCAGATTGGTAGGGGTAGAGTGGTAGGGGTGGAGTGGTAGGGATAGATGGTAGGGGTGGAGTGGTAGGGGTGGAGTGGTAGGGGTAGTGTTAGAGTGGTAGGGGTAGGGGTAAAGTGGTAGGGGTGGAGTGGTAGGGGTAGGGTTAGAGTGGTAGGGGTAGAGTGGTAGTGGTGGAGTGGTAGGGGTGGAGTCGTAGGGGTGGAGTGGTAGGGGTAGAGTGGTAGTGGTGGAGTGGTACCACCACCAACCACCATCAACCATCAACCACCATCAACAACCATCAACAACCATCAACCATCAACCACCATCAACAACCATCAACAACCATGAACAACCACCATCAACCATCAACCACCATCAACAACCATGAACAACCACCATCAACCACCATGAACAACCACCATCAACCACCATCAACAACCACCAACAACCATCAACAACCAGCAACCACCATCAAACACCATGAACAACAACCATCAACCACCATGAACAACCACCATCAACAACCACCAACCACCACCAACAACCATCAACAACCATCAACCACCAAGCATGAACAACCATCAACCACCACCATCACCAACCATCAACAACCACCAACCATGAACCACCATGAACAATCATCAACCACCATCAACCATCATCAACCACCATCAACCATCATCAACCACCATCAACAACCATCAACCACCATCAACAACCATCAACAACCATCAACCACCATCAACAACCATCAACAACCACCACCAACCATCAACAACCATCAACAACAACCACCAACCATGAACAACCAATCAGCGTACAGCGTGGGCACCACGAGTCCACTGGCGATGGCGCTGCCTGCTGTCCAGCAGGCCAGAGTGAGGTAGATGGGCAGCTACCAACAACCATCAACAACAACAACCACCACCAACCAACAACCAATCAGCGTACAGCGTGGGCACCACGAGTCCGCTGGCGATGGCGCTGCCTGCTGTCCAGCAGGCCAGAGTGAGGTAGATGGGCAGCTACCAACAACCATCAACCAACAACCACCACCAACCAACAACCAATCAGCGTACAGCGTGGGCACCACGAGTCCACTGGCGATGGCGCTGCCTGCTGTCCAGCAGGCCAGAGTGAGGTAGATGGGCAGCACCGTGGCCAGCGCCTGGGGCCCGAACTCCAAGTGGGTGCGGCGTGAGAACAAGTGGCGGATGGCACGCTCGCCGTTCTGCCACAGCAACGTGGCCACTGTGGGTCAGGGTGAGGGTCAGGGTCAGGGTGAGGGTCAGGGTGAGGGTCAGGGTCAGGGTGAAAGTCAGGGTGAGGTTGAGTGGACAAACTGATGCACAGCTGAGTGGGCAGGTCTATGGGTCTCTGTGTGAGTCTATGGGTCTCTGTGTGAGTCTATGGGTCTCTGTGTGAGTCTATGGGTCTCTGTTGGAGTAGTTTATGGGTCTCTGTGTGAGTCTATGGGTCTCTGTGTGAGTCTATGGGTCTCTCTGTGAGTCTCTGTGAGTCTCTGTGAGCCTGTGGGTCTATGGGTCTCTATGGGTCTCTGTGAGTCTCTGTGAGTCTATTGGTCTCTATGGGTCTCTGTGAGTCTCTGTCAGTCTATGGGTCTCTATGGGTCTCTGTGAGTCTCTGTGAGTCTATGGGTCTCTATGGGTCTCTGTGAGTCTCTGTGAGTTTGTGGGTCTCTGTGAGCCTGTGGGTCTATGGGTCTCTATGGGTCTCTGTGAGTCTCTGTGAGTCTCTGGGTCTCTATGGGTCTCTGTGAGTCTCTGTGAGTCTATGGGTCTCTATGGGTCTCTATGGGTCTTTGTAAGTCTATGAGTCTCTGTGAGTCTCTGTGACTCTATGGGTTTCTATGGGTCTCTGTGAGTCTCTGTGAGTCTATGGGTCTCTATGGGTCTCTGTGAGTCTCTGTGAGTCTCTGGGTCTCTATGGGTCTCTATGGGTCTCTATGGGTCTCTGTGAGTCTATGAGTCTCTGTGAGTCTATGGGTCTCTATGGGTCTCTATGGGTCTCTGTGAGTCTATGAGTCTCTGTGAGTCTCTGTGAGTCTCTGTGAGTCTATGGGTCTCTATGGGTCTCTATGGGTCTCTGTGAGTCTCTGTGAGTCTATGGGTCTCTATGGGTCTCTATGGGTCTCTGTGAGTCTATGGGTCTCTATGGGTCTCTATGGGTCTCTGTGAGTCTCTGTGAGTCTATGGGTCTCTATGGGTCTCTATGGGTCTCTGTGAGTCTCTGTTAGTCTATGGGTCTCTATGGGTCTCTATGGGTCTCTGTGAGTCTATGGGTCTCTATGGGTCTCTGTGAGTCTCTGTGAGTCTATGGGTCTCTATGGGTCTCTATGGGTCTCTGTGAGTCTCTGTGAGTCTATGGGTCTCTGTGAGTCTCTGTGAGTCTCTGGGTCTCTATGGGTCTCTATGGGTCTCTGTGAGTCTCTGTGAGTCTATGGGTCTCTATGGGTCTCTATGGGTCTCTGTGAGTCTCTGTGAGTCTCTGGGTCTCTATGGGTCTCTATGGGTCTCTGTGAGTCTCTGTGAGTCTCTGGGTCTCTATGGGTCTCTGTGGGTCTCTGTGAGTCTCTGTGAGTCTCTGGGTTTCTATGGGTCTCTGTGAGTCTCTGTGAGTCTCTGGGTCTCTATGGGTCTCTGTGAGTCTCTGTGAGTCTATGGGTCTCTATGGGTCTTTATGGGTCTCTGTGAGTCTCTGTGAGTCTATGGGTCTCTATGGGTCTCTGTGAGTCTCTGTGAGTCTATGGGTCTCTATGGGTCTCTATGGGTCTCTGTGAGTCTCTGTGAGTCTATGGGTCTCTATGGGTCTCTATGGGTCTCTGTGAGTCTCTGTTAGTCTATGGGTCTCTATGGGTCTCTATGGGTCTCTGTGAGTCTATGGGTCTCTATGGGTCTCTATGGGTCTCTGTGAGTCTCTGTGAGTCTATGGGTCTCTATGGGTCTCTATGGGACTCTGTGAGTCTCTGTGAGTCTATGGGTCTCTGTGAGTCTCTGTGAGTCTATGGGTCTCTATGGGTATCTATGGGTCTCTGTGAGTCTCTGTGAGTCTATGGGTCTCTATGGGTCTCTATGGGTCTCTGTGAGTCTCTGTGAGTCTCTGGGTCTCTATGGGTCTCTATGGGTCTCTGTGAGTCTCTGTGAGTCTCTGGGTCTCTATGGGTCTCTATGGGTCTCTGTGGGTCTCTGTGTGTGTGTGGCTGGTGGAGATGGCGGCAGCAGCCAAACCCTGGTTGAAGGTCCGGTTGGATCGCTTCACTCCGTCCGCCCCGACCTCCGTGTAGCCCTGCGGGCACCGGTAGAGCTCCGTGTCCGGTTCCGTGCGGATCCACTCCATGGCTTGGGGGTCTCCCAACAGCGAGGCCTGGTAGGTCGGGGTGTGGTTGAGGCACAGGGAGCTGTGTGGGGGGAGGGGGAGGAGAGGGAGGGGAGGAGGGAGGGGAGGGAGGGAGGGAGGGAGGGGAGGGAGGGGAGAGGGAGGGAGGGAGGGAGGGGAGGGAGGGAGGGAGGGAGGGAGGGAGGGGAGGGGAGGGGAGGGAGGGAGGGAGGGAGGGAGGGGAGGGAGGGAGGGAGGGAGGGGAGGGGAGGGGAAGGAGGGAGGGAGGGAGGGGAGGGAGGGGAGGGAGGTGAGGGGAGGAGAGGGGAGGGGAGGGAGGAGGGAGGTGAGGGAGGGAAGGAGGGAGGGGAGGGAGGGAGGGAGGGAGGGAGGGGAGGGAGGGAGGGAGGGGAGAGGGAGGGGAGGGAGGGAGGGAGGGGAGAGGGAGGGAGGGGAGGGAGGGAGGGGAGGGGAGGGGAGGGAGGGAGGGGAGGGAGGGAGGGAGGGGAGGGAGGGAGAGAGGGAGGGAGTGGAGGGAGGGAGGGAGGGAGGGAGGGGAGGGAGGGAGGGAGGGAGGGGAGGGGAGGGAGGGGAGGTGAGGGAGGGGAGGGGGGAAGGGGAGGGGAAGGAGAGAGGGAGGGTATGGGCGGGAGGGAGGGAGGGAGGGAGGGAGGGGAGGGAGGGAAGGGAGGGAGGGAGGGAGGGGAGGGAGGGAGGGAGGGGAGGGAGGGGAGGGAGGGAAGGGAAGGGAGGGGAGGGAGGGAGGGAGGCGAGGGAGGGAGGGAGAGAGGGGAGGGGAGGGGAGGGAGGGAGGGAGGGAGGGAGGGGAGGGAGGAGAGGGGAGGGAGGGAGGGAGGAGAGGGAGGGAGCAGATGGGGATTGCTCCACATTCCTACGATGCAGCATCGTGAGTTGTGGACTATCCACTGCTGGATGGGGTTCGGGTTTATCCCGGCGGTGGTCGCCTGTGATCTAGCAGCGTTGAGGGTTGGTGGTTCACGCAACGATGGGTGGATCCCGCAAGTGTGTGGACTAATCTCCACCTGTTCCTTCTGTGCGGGATAGAGCGTTGCCCCCTCGCGCGAGGCCCATAGCCTCATGTAGAGACTCATAGATTCCCAAAGCAGAGACCGATAGACTCACACAGAGACCCATAGACTCACACAGAGACCCATAGACTCACACAGAGAGACCCATAGACTCACACAGAGACCCATAGACTCATACAGAGAGACCCATAGACTCACACAGAGACCCATAGACTCACACAGAGACCCATAGACTCACGTAGAGACCCATAGACTCACACAGAGACCCATAGACTCACACAGAGACCCATAGACTCACACAGAGCGACCCATAGACTCACACAGAGACCCATAGACTCACACAGAGACCCATAGACTCACAGAGACCCATAGACTCACACAGAGACCCATAGACTCAAACAGAGACCCATAGACTCACAGAGACCCATAGACTCACACAGAGACCCATAGACTCACACAGAGACCCATAGACTCACACAGAGCGACCCATAGACTCACACAGAGACCCATAGACTCACACAGAGACCCATAGACTCACAGAGACCCATAGACTCACAGAGAGCCCCATAGACTCACACAGAGACCCATAGACTCACAGAGACCCATAGCCTCACACAGAGACCCATAGACTCATACAGAGACCCATAGACTCACACAGAGACCCATAGACTCACACAGAGACCCATAGACTCACACAGAGACCCATAGACTCACACAGAGCGACCCATAGACTCACACAGAGACCCATAGACTCACACAGAGACCCATAGACTCAAACAGAGACCCATAGACTCACAGAGAGCCCCATAGACTCACACAGAGACCCATAGACTCACAGAGACCCATAGCCTCACACAGAGACCCATAGACTCATACAGAGACCCATAGACTCACACAGAGACCCATAGACTCACACAGAGACCCATAGACTCATACAGAGACCCATAGACTCACAGAGACCCATAGACTCACACAGAGACCCATAGACTCACAGAGACCCATAGACTCACACAGAGACCCATAGACTCGCTCACCTGCCCACTCACCTACCCACTCACCTGCCCACTCACCTGCCCCCACTCACCTACCCCCACTCACCTGCCCCCACCTCACCCGCCCCCACCTCACCTGTTCTCCACGTCCCCCTCGATGTGGCAGGTGACCGGCGAGCAGGGGAAGAGGGCAGGCAGGTAGACGGTCACGGACACGGTGATCACCTGGCCACTCGCACACAGCCACAGGCAACGGCTCTCCCGGCTAACCACCGACCCCCTTTGACGTTACGATGACGTAGCTTGCACGTCATCGGTTGTCCATCCAATCACCCGTTCACTCACCTGTCCATCAATCTCTCGGTCCAATCACCTTCCCATAGACTCAACACTGGACCATAGACTCAACACTGCACCATAGACTCAACACTGGACCATAGACTCAGCACTGCACCATAGACTCAACACTGCACCATAGACTCAACACTGCACCATAGACTCAACACTGCACCATAGACTCAACACTGCACCATAGACTCAACACTGCACCATAGACTCAACACTGCACCATAGACTCAACACTGGACCATAGACTCAACACTGCACCATAGACTCAACACTGCACCATAGACTCAGCACTGCACCATAGACTCAACACTGCACCATAGACTCAACACTGCACAATAGACTCAACACTGCACCATAGACTCAACACTACCCACAGACTCAACACTGGACCATAGACTCAGCACTGCACCATAGACTCAACACTGCACCATAGACTCAACACTGCACCATAGACTCAACACTGCACAATAGACTCAACACTGCACCATAGACTCAACACTGCACAATAGACTCAACACTGCACAATAGACTCAACACTACACCATAGACTCAACACTGCACCATAGACTCAACACTGCACTATAGACTCAACACTGCACCATAGACTCAGCACTGCACCATAGACTCAACACTGCACCACAGACTCAACACTGCACTATAGACTCAACACTGCACCATAGACTCAACACTGCACCATAGACTCAACACTGCACCATAGACTCAACACTGCACCATAGACTCAACACTGCACCACAGACTCAACACTACCCACAGACTCAACACTGCACCATAGACTCAACACTGCACCATAGACTCAACACTGCACCATAGACTCAACACTGCACCATAGACTCAACACTGCACCATAGACTCAACACTGCACCATAGACTCAACACTGCACCATAGACTCAACACTGCACCACAGACTCAACACTACCCACAGACTCAACACTGCACCATAGACTCAACACTGCACCATAGACTCAACACTGCACCATAGACTCAGCACTGCACCATAGACTCAACACTGCACCATAGACTCAGCACTGCACCACAGACTCAACACTGCACCATAGACTCAGCACTGCACCATAGAGTCAACACTGCACCATAGACTCAACACTGCACCATAGACTCAACACTGCACCATAGACTCAACACTGCACCATAGACTCAACACTGCACCATAGACTCAACACTGCACCATAGACTCAACACTGCACCATAGACTCAACACTGCACCACAGACTCAACACTACCCACAGACTCAACACTGCACCATAGATTCAACACTGCACCATAGACTCAACACTGCACCATAGACTCAGCACTGCACCATAGACTCAACACTGCACCATAGACTCAGCACTGCACCACAGACTCAACACTGCACCATAGACTCAGCACTGCACCATAGAGTCAACACTGCACCATAGACTCAACACTACCCATAGACTCAACAATGCACCATAGACTCAACACTGCACCATAGACTCAACACTGCACCATAGACTCAACACTGCACCATAGACTCAACACTGCAGCATAGACTCAGCACTGCACCATAGACTCAACACTGCACCATAGACTCAACACTGCACCATAGACTCAACACTGCACCATAGACTCAACACTGCACCATAGACTCAACACTACACCATAGACTCAGCACTGCACCATAGACTCAACACTGCACCATAGACTCAACACTGCACCATAGACTCAACACTGCACCATAGACTCAACACTGCCCACAGACTCAACACTGCACCATAGACTCAACACTGCACCACAGACTCAACACTGCACCATAGACTCAACACTGCACCATAGACTCAACACTGCACCATAGACTCAACACTGCACCACAGACTCAACACTACCCACAGACTCAACACTGCACCATAGACTCAGCACTGCACCATAGACTCAACACTGCACCATAGACTCAGCACTGCACCATAGACTCAACACTGCACCATAGACTCAACACTGCACCATAGACTCAGCACTGCACCATAGACTCAACACTGCACCATAGACTCAACACTGCACCATAGACTCAACACTGCACCATAGACTCACCACGGTGGACTTAGCACTGCCCCTCTCTCTCACCGCGTACCGGTACCTCTCTCTCACCGCGTACCAGTATCGCCACGGCCTCGGCGAGACGCATCGCCCTGCGAAGTCCGTCGGTGGAGGCCCGGGCCAGGGCCCACTGGCGCGCCCGCCCCATGCTCAGGTTGCCGTGGACGAAGAGGGCCCCCAGCAGGCCCCCGGTCAAGCCCAGCAGCACCGTGGGGACAAAGGCGGCGATGTGCATGTCCAGAGACTCGGTCACCTGCAGCACGCCGCGTGGGGTAGGTGGAGGGGAGGGGGTGGTGTGGGGGGTGACATCGTGGACACAACACGGTCAGCTGCCCATCCACTCATCTACCCACTCCCCTACCCATCCATCTCCACACGCACCTACCCATCCATCTCCCCACTCACTTACACATCGATCCATCTACCCACTCACCTACCCATCGATCCATCTATCCACTCACCTGTCCATCCACTCATCTACCCACCCACCCACCTACCCATCCATCCATCTACCCACTCACCTACCCATCCATCCATCTATCCACTCACCTGTCCATCCACTCATCTACCCACCCACCCACCTACCCATCCATCCATCTCCCCACTCACTTACCCATAGATCCATCTACCCACTCACCTACCCATCGATCCATCTACCCACCCACCTACACATCCATCCATCTCCTCACTCACCTACTCATCCATCTCCACACGCACCTACCCATCCATCTCCCCACTCACTTACCCATCCATCGATCTACCCACTCACCTACCCATCCATCTCCACACGCACCTACCCATCCTCCATTTATCCACTCACCTGTCCATCCATCCATCTACCCACTCACCTACCCATCCATTCACTCATCTAGCCACTCACCTACCCATCCATCCATCTATCCACTTACCTGTCCATCCATCCATCTACCCACCCACCTACCCATCCATCCATCTACTCACTCACCTACCCATCCATCTCTCCACTCACCTACCCATCCATCCATCTAGCCACTCACCTACCCATTAATCCATCTCCTCACTCACCTACCCATCCATCTCCCCACTCACCTGTCCATCCACTCATCTACCCACTACCCTACCATTCAATCCATCTATCCACTCACCTGTCCATCCACTCATCTACCCACCCACCTACCCATCCACTCATCTCTCCACTCACCTACCCATCCACCCATCTACCCACTCACCTACCCATCCATCTATCCATCTCCCCACTCACCTACCCATCCATCCATCTATCCACTCACCTACCCATCCATCTCCCCACTCACCTACCCATCCATCCATCTACCCACTCACCTACCCATCCATCTCCCCACTCACCTACCCATCCATCCATCTATCCACTCACCTACCCATCCATCTCCCCACTCACCTACCCATCCATGCATCTACCCACTCACCTGTCCATCCATCCATCTACCCACTCACCTACCCATCCATCCATCTCCCCACTCACCTACCCATCCACTCATCTACCCACTCACCTACCCATCCATCCATCTATCCACTCACCTGTCCATCCACTCATCTACCCACCCACCTACCCATCCATCCATCTCCTCACTCACCTACTCATCCATCTCCCCACTCACCTACCCATCCATCCATCTCCCCACTCACCTACCCATCCATCCATCTAGCCACTCACCTACCCATCCATCCATCTCCTCACTCACCTACCCATCCATCTCCCCACTCACCTACCCATCCACCCATCTACCCACCCACCTGCCCACCCACCCATCTACCCACTCACCTACCCATCCACTCATCTCCCGACTCACCTACCCATCCATCCATCTCCTCACTCACATACCCATCCACCCATCTACCCACTCACCTGTCCATCCACTCATCTTTCCAAACACCTACCCATCCATCCATCCACCCATCTCCCCACACACCTGCCCACCCACCCATCTACCCACCCACCTGCCCACCCACCCATCTACCCACCCACCTGCCCACCCACCCATCTACCCACCCACCCGCCCACCCACCCATCTCCCCACCCACCTGCCCACCCACCCACCTGCCCACCCACCCATCTACCCACCCACCTGCCCACCCACCCATCTACCCACCCACCCGCCCACCCACCCATTTCCCCACCCACCTGCCCACCCACCCACCTGCCCACCCACCCATCTCCCCACCCACCTGCCCACCCACCCATCTCCCCACCCACCTGCCCACCCACCCACCCTGAAGATGATGCTGCGGTCGGCGCGGAAGAGTCCGAACTCCCCCACGTAGACGAAGCGCACGAAGGCCGAGTTGAAGAGGTCCGTGGTGAAGGTGGCCACCATGCAGCAGAAGAAGATCTGCCAGCAGAGGCGAACGCTCCAGAAGGAGGACATCTCCTCGATGGCGAAGAGGAGGCCGCCCACGGGGGAGCCAAACGCGGAGGCGATGCCCGCTCCCGCGCCCGCCGAGATGAAGTTGCGCCTGTGGATAGGTGCGTGGGCAGGTGAGTGGGCAGGTGGGTGGATAGATGAGGGGGCAGGTGGGTGGATAGATGAGTTGGCAGGTGAGTGGGCAGGTGGGTGGGCAGGTGGGTGGATAGGTGAGTGAGCAGGTGGGTGGATAGGTGAGTGGGTAGGTGAGTGGGCAGGTGGGTGGATAGGTGAGTGGACAGGTGAGTGGGCAGGTGGGTGGGCAAGTGAGTGAGCAGGTGGGTGGATAGGTGAGTGGGCAGGTGAGTGAGCAGGTGGGTGGATAGGTGAGTGGGCAGGTGAGTGGGCAGGTGGGTGGATAGGTGAGTGGCAGGTGAGTGGGCAGGTGAGTGGGCAGGTGAGTGGGCAGGTGAGTGGGCAGGTGGGTGGGCAGGTGAGTGGGTAGGTGAGTGGGCAGGTGAGTGGATAGGTGAGTGGGCAGGTGGGTGGGCAGGTGAGTGGGTAGGTGAGTGGGCAGGTGAGTGGACAGGTGAGTGGGCAGGTGAGTGGATAGGTGAGTGGGCAGGTGAGTGGATAGGTGAGTGGGCAGGTGGGTGGATAGGTGAGTGGGCAGGTGAGTGGGCAGGTGGGTGGATAGGTGAGTGGGCAGGTGAGTGGGCAGGTGAGTGGGCAGGTGAGTGGGCAGGTGGGTGGATAGGTGAGTGGGCAGGTGGGTGGGCAGGTGAGTGGGTAGGTGGGTGGATAGGTGAGTGGGCAGGTGGGTGGAAAGGTGAGTGGGCAGGTGGGTGGGCAGGTGGGTGGGCAGGTGGGTGGGCAGGTGAGTGGGCAGGTGGGTGGATAGGTGCGTGGGCAGGTGGGTGGATAGGTGAGTGGGCAGGTGAGTGGGCAGGTGGGTGGATAGGTGAGTGGGCAGGTGAGTGGGCAGGTGGGTGGATAGGTGAGTGGGTAGGTGAGTGGGCAGGTGGGTGGATAGGTGAGTTGGCAGGTGAGTGGGCAGGTGGGTGGATAGATGAGTTGGCAGGTGAGTGGGCAGGTGGGTGGATAGGTGAGTGGGCAGGTGGGTGGGCAGGTGAGTGGGTAGGTGAGTGGGCAGGTGGGTGGGCAGGTGAGTGGGCAGGTGAGTGGGCAGGTGGGTGAGTGAGCAGGTGGGTGGATAGGTGAGTGGGCAGGTGAGTGGGCAGGTGGGCGGGTGGGTGAGTAGGCAGGTGAGTGGGCAGGTGGGTGAGTGAGCAGGTGGGTGGATAGGTGAGTGGGCAGGTGAGTGGGCAGGTGAGTGGGCACGTGGGTGGATAGGTGAGTGGGCAGGTGGGTGGGCAGGTGGGTGGATAGGTGAGTGGGCAGGTGAGTGGGCAGGTGGGTGGATAGATGAGTTGGCAGGTGAGTGGGCAGGTGGGTGGATAGGTGAGTGGGCAGGTGGGTGGGCAGGTGAGTGGGTAGGTGAGTGGGCAGGTGAGTGGGCAGGTGGGTGGATAGGTGAGTGGGCAGGTGAATGGGCAGGTGAGTGGGCAGGTGAATCTCGATGTGAGTCTATAGGTCTCTGTGTGAGTCTATGGGTCTCTGTGTGAGTCTATGTGTCTCTATGTGAGTTTATGTGTCTCTATGTGAGTTTATGGGTCTCTATGTGAGTCTATGGGTCTCTATGTGAGTCTGTGAGTCTCTGTGTGAGTCTATGGGTCTCTATGGGTCTCTGTGTGAGTCTATGGGTCTCTATGAGTCTCTATGTGAGTCTGTGAGTCTCTGTGTGAGTCTATGGGTGTCTATGGGTCTCTGTGTGAGTCTATGGGTCTCTATGGGTCTCTGTGTGAGTCTATGGGTCTCTATGGGTCTCTATGTGTCTTTGTGTGAATCTATGGGTCTCTATGGGTCTCTATGTGTCTCTGTGTGAGTCTATGGGTCTCTATGGGTCTCTATGGGTCTCTGTGTGAGTCTCTGTGTGAGTCTATGGGTCTCTATGAGTCTCTATGTGAGTCTATGAGTCTCTGTGTGTGTCTATGGGTCTCTATGGGTCTCTGTGTGAGTCTATGGTTCTCTATGGCTCTCTATGGGTCTCTATGGATCTCTATGGGTCTCTGTATGAGTCTATGGGTCTCTATGGGTCGTTATGGGTCTCTATGGGTCTCTATGTGAGTCTATGAGTCTCTGTGTGTGTCTATGGGTCTCTATGGGTCTCTGTGTGAGTCTATGGGTCTCTATGTGATTCTATGGGTCTCTGTGTGAGTCTATGGGTCTCTATGGCTCTCTATGGCTCTATATGGGTCTCTATGGGTCTCTATGGGTCTCTATGAGTCTCTGTGTGAGTCTATGGGTTTCTATGGCTCTCTATGGCTCTATATGGGTCTCTATGGGTCTCTATGGCTCTCTATGGGTCTCTATGAGTCTCTATGGCTCTCTATGAGTCTCTGTGTGAGTCTATGGGTCTCTATGGCTCTCTATGGCTCTATATGGGTCTCTATGGGTCTCTATGGATCTCTATGGGTCTCTGTGTGAGTCTATGGGTCTCTATGGGTCTCTATGGGTCTCTGTGTCACCTGTCTGCCGAGTTACGGAACCTTGTGAAGTAAGGCGGCCGAATCCTCAGCGTGTCGGACTTGAACTGACTCAGCCCGGCGCCTATCAGGGCGCTGTGTGGGGGGTGGGGGCGTGGGGGGGGGGTGGGGGGGGGTGGAGAGGTTTGGGGGGGGGTGGGGGTTTGGGGGGTGTTGGGTGTGGGGGGCGTGGCGGGGTGGGGGGCAAAATTACAGTGACATCATTGAGTCTCCATCTCTCTCCATCTCTCTCCATCTCTCTCCCCATCTCTCCCCATCTCTCTCCCGATCTCTCTCCCCATCTCTCTCCCCATCTCTCTCCCCATCTCTCCCCATCTCTCTCCCCATCTGTCTCTCTCCATCTCACCATCTCTCTCCATCTCTCTCCCCATCTCTCTCCCCATCTCTCTCCCCATCTCTCCCCATCTCTCTCCCCATCTGTCTCTCTCCATCTCACCATCTCTCTCCATCTCTCTCCCCATCTCTCTCCCCATCTCTCTCCCCCTCTCTCCCCATCTCTCTCCCCATCTGTCTCTCTCCATCTCACCATCTCTCTCCATCTCTCTCCATCTCTCTCCATCTCTCTCCCCATCTCTCTCTCCATCTCTCTCCCCATCTCTCTCCATCTCTCTCCCCATCTCTCTTCCCATCTGTCTCTCTCCATCTCTCCATCTCTCTCCATCTCTCTCCGCATCTCTCTCCGCATCTCTCTCCGCATCTCTCTCCGCATCTCTCCCCATCTCTCTCCATCTCTGTCTCTCCCCATCTCTCTCCATCTCTCCATCTCTCTCCCCATCTCTCTCCCCCATCTCTCTCCATCTCTCTCCATCTCTCTCCCCATCTCTCTCTCCATCTCTCTCCCCATCTCTCTCTCCATCTCTCTCCCCATCTCTCTCTCCATCTCTCTCCCCATCTCTCTCTCCATCTCTCTCTCCATCTCTCTCTCCATCTCTCTCCCCATCTCTCTCCCCATCTCTCCCCATCTCTCTCCCCATCTCTCTCTCCATCTCTCTCCCCATCTCTCTCTCCATCTCTCTCCCCATCTCTCTCTCCATCTCTCTCTCCATCTCTCTCTCCATCTCTCTCCCCATCTCTCTCTCCATCTCTCTCCCCATCTCTCTCTCCATCTCTCTCCCCATCTCTCTCTCCATCTCTCTCCCCATCTCTCTCTCCATCTCTCTCTCCATCTCTCTCTCCATCTCTCTCCCCATCTCTCTCTCCATCTCTCTCCCCATCTCTCTCTCCATCTCTCTCTCCATCTCTCTCCCCATCTCTCTCTCCATCTCTCTCCCCATCTCTCTCCCCATCTCTCTTCCCATCTCTCTCCCCATCTCTCTCTCCATCTCTCTCCCCATCTCTCTCTCCATCTCTCTCCCCATCTCTCTCTCCATCTCTCTCTCCATCTCTCTCTCCATCTCTCTCCCCATCTCTCTCCCCATCTCTCTCCCCATCTCTCTCCCCATCTCTCTCTCCATCTCTCGCCGCATCTCTCCCCATCTCTCTCCCCATCTGTCTGTCTCCATCTCTCCATCTCTCTCCATCTCTCTCCATCTCTCTCTCCATCTCTCCATCTCTCTCCATCTCTCTCCCCATCGCTCTCCATCTCTCCCCATCTCTCTCCCCCATCTCTCTCCCCATCTGTCTCTCTCCATCTCTCCATCTCTCCCCATCTCTCTCCATCTCTCTCCCCATCTCTCTCCATCTCTCTCCATCTCTCTCCGCATCTCTCCCCATCTCTCTCCATCTCTCTCCATCTCTCTCGCCATCTCTCCCCATCTCTCCCCATCTCTCTCGCCATCTCTCCCCATCTCTCTACATCTCTCTCCATCTCTCCCCATCTCTCTCCATCTCTCCATCTCTCTCCCCATCTCTCTCCCCATCTCTCTCCATCTCTCTCCATCTCTCTCCGCATCTCTCTCCGCATCTCTCTCCGCATCTCGCCCTCTCCGCCTCCCGGAGGCTCACCCCATGTGTATCATGGGTCCCTCGGGGCCCGCGAAGAGTCCGGCCGAGATGGCCAGCACGCAGGAGAGGAACTTGACGGCGAATGTGCGCACGTTGAAGATGTGGCGAATGAGCGTGCCGTTGAGGAAGCCGATCACCTCCGGCAGACCGCTCCCTCCCGCCGCCGGGCACACCCACTGGGGGGGTTAACAATGACAACGTTAACCCCATCCCGTTTCTGATGACGTAGAGACAAGCGCCCACGCAAGTACGTCATCGGTGTTTCTTCAGATTCCGTTCTGAACCATTGGGGGGGGGGGGGGGGGGGTTAACAATAACAACGTTAACCCCATCCCGTTTCTGATGACGTACAAGCAAGCGGCCATGCAAGTACGTCATCGGGTTTTCTTCCGATTCCGTTCTGAACCACTGGGCGGGGGGGGGGGGGGTGAGTAACAATAACGACGTCAACCCCATCCCGTTTCTGATGACGTACATTCAAAGGGCCCACTCAAGTACGTCGTCGTTTTTTCTTCAGATTCCGTTCTGAACCACTGGGAGGGGGTGTACGGGAGGGATGGGGGGGGGGGCGGGTTAACAATAACAACGTTAACCCCCCCACCCCGGAATCACGGACTCAGCCTGAAGTCGCGAACTCATCACGGACTCATCCCGGACTCACCACCACGAGCGCCGACGCTGGCACCAGCATGGCCAAGCTGATGGCCAGGGCAGAGGCCCACGCCGGGAGGAAGTCACCGCTCTGCAAAGACACAGACAAAGGTCCCCCGTGTAGCCTCTAGCAGGGCTGTAGGGGCAAGTGCTGTGAGTAGCAGCAGCAGTGCCCTATAGACACACAGATAAAGGTGCCCCGTGTAGCCTCTAGCAGGGCTGTAAGGGCAAGTGCTGTGAGTAGTAGCAGCAGTGCCCTATAGACACACAGACAAAGGTCCCCCGTGTAGCCTCTAGCAGGGCTGTAGAGGCAAGTGCCGTGAGTAGCTGCGGCAGTGCCCTATATACACACAGACAAAGGTCCCCCGTGTAGCCTCTAGCAGGGCTGTAGGGGCAAGTGCTGTGAGTAGCAGTAGCAGTGCCCTATAGACACACAGACAAAGGTCCCCCGTGTAGCCTCTAGCAGGGCTGTAGGGGCAAGTGCTGTGAGTAGCAGCAGCAGTGCCCTATAGACACACAGACAAAGGTCCCCCGTGTAGCCTCTAGCAGGGCTGTAGGGGCAAGTGCTGTTAGTAGCAGCAGCAGTGCCCTATAGACACACAGACAAAGGTGCCCCGTGTAGCCTCTAGCAGGGCTGTAGGGGCAAGTGCTGTTAGTTGCATCAGCAGTTGTGATGGCGGTGGTGACATTGATGATGGTAATAATGGCGATTGTGGTGGTGATAATGATGGTGGTGGTGTAGATGGTGGTGATGATGGTGGCTGTGATGGTGGCTGTGATGGTGATGGTGGTGATGGTGGTGTAGATGGTGGTGATGATGGTGGCTGTGATGATGGCTGTGATGGTGGTGATGGTGGTGTAGATGGTGATAGTGTAGATGGTGGTGATGGTGGTGACGTAGATGATGATGGTGTAGATGGTGGTGATGATGGTGGCTGTGATGGTGATAGTGGTGATGGTGGTGTAGATGGTGATAGTGTAGATGGTGGTGATGATGGTGTAGATGGTGATGATGATGGTGGCTGTGATGGTGATGGTGGTGATGGTGGTGTAGATGGTGGTGATGATGGTGGCTGTGATGATGGCTGTGATGGTGGTGATGGTGGTGTAGATGGTGATAGTGTAGATGGTGGTGATGGTGGTGACGTAGATGATGATGGTGTAGATGGTGGTGATGATGGTGGCTGTGATGGTGGCTGTGATGATGATGGTGATGATGGTGGTGTAGGTGGTGGTGATGATGGTGGTGGCTGTGATGGTGGCTGTGATGGTGATGGTGGTGATGGTGGTGTAGGTGGTGGTGGTGATGGTGGCTGTGATGGTGGCTGTGATGGTGATGGTGGTGATGGTGGTGATGATGGTGGCTGTGATAGTGATGGTGGTGATGGTGGTGATGGTGGTGATGGTGGTGTAGATGGTGGTGGTGATGGTGGCTGTGATGGTGGCTGTGATGGTGATGGTGGTGATGGTGGTGTAGGTGGTGGTGGTGATGGTGGCTGTGATGGTGGCTGTGATGGTGATGGTGGTGATGGTGGTGATGATGGTGGCTGTGATGGTGATGGTGGTGATGGTGGTGTAGGTGGTGGTGGTGATGGTGGCTGTGATGGTGGCTGTGATGGTGGTGATGGTGGTGGAGGTGGTGGTGGTGATGGTGGCTGTGATGGTGGCTGTGATGGTGATGGTGGTGTAGGTGGTGGTGATGATGGTGGCTGTGATGGTGATGGTGGTGATGGTCCATCACCTGCACGAGCGAGCGAGCGTGCTGCCAGCGTGCGTGGATGAGCACATCGATGATTTGGTGGAGCAGGAATCCGGTGAGGCCGACGGAGAAGCCGATCAGTCCCATCATGAGCCAGCGGTCCCACTCCAGCCTGCACGCCGGGGAGATGTTGACAACCTCGCCTGGTCTACCGGAGGTCGTGGGTTCTGTCCCTGGGAGATGTTGACTACCTCGCCTGGTCTACAGGAGGTCGTGGGTTCTATCCCTGGGAGATGTTGACAACCTCGCCTGGTGTACAGGAGGTCGTGGGTTCTATCCCTGGGAGATGTTGACTACCTCGCCCGGTATACAGGAGGTCGTAGGTTCGATCCCTGAGAGATGTTGACTACCTCGCCTGGTGTACAGGAGGTCGTGGGTTCTATCCCTGGGAGATGTTGACAACCTCGCCTGGTATACAGGAGGTCGTAGGTTCTATCCCTCGGAGATGTTGACTACCTCGCCTGGTGTACAGGAGGTCGTGGGTTCTATCCCTGGGAGATGTTGACTACCTCGCCTGGTGTACAGGAGGTCGTGGGTTCTATCCCTGGGAGATGTTGACTACCTCGTCTGGTGTACAGGAGGTCGTGGGTTACGATGAGAGAGACTGTCATAATGTTGATGATGATACACTTACTGCTACTGCTGCTATTATTATTGCTGCTGCTGATGATGTTGATGATGCTACTGCTGCTGATGATGATGCTGCTGCTGATGATGCTGATGCTGCTGATTCTGCTGATGATGATGCTGCTACTACTGCTGCTGATGATACTGCTGATAATGATGGTACTGCTGATGCTGCTGCTGCTGATGCTGCTGCTGATGATGCTGCTGGACTCACCTGCGTGGCTGACGCAGGAGGTACTGCTGGTACACGAGGCTGTGCGGGGGGAGGTAGTCCATACTCTCCGGCTGTGTCTGCTCCGGATTCGCCACTGGGATCTCGCCTTCGGAGTCTTAATCATCATCATCATCATCAGCATCATCAGCATCATCAGCAGCAGCATCATCAGCAACAGCATCGTCATCATCATCATCGGCAGCATCATCATCGGTAGCATCATCATCAGCAACAGCATGAGCAGCATCATCATCAGCAGCATCATCAGCATCAACATCATCAGCAGCATCATCAGCATCATCAGCAGCATCAACATCATCATCAGCAGCAGCATCAGCAGCAGCATCATCAGCATAAACATTATCATCAGCATCATCAGCATCAACATAATCATCAGCAGCAGCATCATCTTCATCAGCATCGTCATCATCATCATCAGCAGCAGCATCATCACCACCATCATCACCATCAGCATCATCAGCATCATCATCGGCAGCATCATCATCGGTAGCATCATCATCAGCAACAGCATGAGCAGCATCATCAGCAGCAGCATCATCAGCATCAACATCATCATCAGCATCATCAGCAGCATCAACATCATCATCAGCATCATCAGCATCAACATTATCATCAGCATCATCAGCATCAACATCATCAGCAGCAGCAGCATCATCTTCATCAGCATCGTCATCATCATCATCAGCAGCAGCAGCATTATCACCGCCACCATCACCATCAGCAGCATCATCATCAGGAGCAGCAGCATCATCACCACCATCATCACCATCATCACCATCACCACCATCATCATCATCATCACCATCATCATCATCACCATCAGCACCATCATCATCACCACCATCATCACCATCAGCATCATCAGCATCATCACCGCCACCATCACCACTATCATCACCATCAGCATCATCATCATCAGCAGCAGCAGCATCATCACCATCATCACCATCATCAGCATCATCACCACCATCATCACCATCAGCATCATCACCACCATCATCACCATCACCATCATCACCACCATCATCACCATCAGCATCACCATCACCATCAGCACCATCACCATCACTATCACCATCATCATCACCATCAGCATCACTATCATCATCACCATCATCACCATCATCAGCAGCAGCAGCAGCAGCAGCATCATCACCACCATCATCACCATCAGCATCATCATCACCATCAGCATCATCAGCATCATCAGCATCATCATCACCATCATCATCATCACCACCATCATCACCATCAGCAACAGCAGCACCATCAGCATCATCAGCATCATCATCAGCATCATCAACATCATCAGCATCATCATCACCATCATCGTCGTCGTGCTCCAGGAGTCGCCGCTCTTCCTGTGCGAGGCCCCGGCTGAGGCCGTCGGACATCTCCAGCTGGGGCGCTGCGCGTCTCTCTTGGGGCATCGAGTGGGGGGCTGGGGTGGGGGGGGGGTGAGTGAGTGAGTGGGTGAGTGAGTGTGGGGTGAGTGGATGAGTGAGTGGGTGAGTGAGTGGGTGAGTGAGTGAGTGGGTGAGTGGGTGAGTGAGTGGGTGAGTGAGTGAGTGAGTGTGGGGTGAGTTGGTGAGTGAGTGGGTGAGTGAGTGAGTGGGTGAGTGGGTGAGTGAGTGAGTGGGTGGGTGAGTGAGTGAGTGGGTGAGTGAGTGAGTGAGTAGTTGGGTGGGTGGATGGAGTGAGTGGGTGGGTGAGTGAGTGAGTGGGTGAGTGAGTGGGTGGGTGAGTGGGTGGGTGAGTGAGTGAGTGAGTGGATGAGTGAGTGGGTGAGTGAGTGGGTGAGTGAGTGAGTGGGTGTGTGAGTGGTTGAGTGATTGGATGAGTGAGTGGGTGAGTGAGTGGGTGAGTGGGTGTGTGGATGAGTGAGTGGGTGAGTGAGTGAGTGGGTGAGTGAGTGAGTAAGTGAGTGGGTGAGTGAGTGAGTGTGTGGGTGAGTGAGTGGGTGGGTGAGTGAGTGAGTGAATGAGTGAGTGGGTGGTTGACTGAGTGGGTAAGTGAGTGGGTGGGTTAGTGAGTGAATGAGTGAGTGGGTGAGTTTGTGGATAAGTGTATGGGTGAGTGAGTGAGTGGGTGAGTGGGTGAATGGGTGGGTGAGTGGGTGGGTGGGTGCGTGAGTGGGTGAATGGGTGGGTGAGTGGGTGAATGGGTGGGTGAGTTGGTGGGTGGGTGAGTGTGTGAGTGGGTGAATGGGTGGGTGAGTGGGGGAATGGGTGCGTGAGTGGGTGAATGGGTGGGTGAGTGGGTGAATGGGTGGGTGGGTGGGTGAGTGGGTGGGTTGGTGGGTGAGTGTGTGAGTGGGTGAATGGGTGGGTAAGTGGGTGAATGGGTGGGTGAGTGGGTGAATGGGTGGGTGAGTGGGTGGGTGGGTGAGTGGGTAGGTGACCGGATGGGTGGGTGACTGGATGGGTGGGTGGGTGAGTGGGTGTGTGAGTGGGTGAGTGAATGGGTGAATGAATGAGTGTGTGAATGAGTGAATGGGTGAATGAGTGACTGATTGAGTGAGTGGGTGAGTTTAGTGAGGGAGTGACCCTGTGTGTGTACTCACCCTCTCTCTCTGTGTGAGTAAGTGTGTGGGTGAGTGAGTGTGTGGGTGAGTGAGTGAATGAGTGAGTTAGTGTGTGGGTGAGTGTGTGGGTGAGTGAGTGACTGATTGAGTGAGTGAATGAGTGAGTGAGTGGGCGAGTGAGTGAGTGACTGATTGAGTGAGTGACTGATTGAGTGAGTGACTGATTGAGTGAGTGAATGAGTGAGTGAATGAGTGAGTAAGTGGGCGAGTGAGTGCGTGTGTTGGTGAGTGTGTGGGTGAGTAAGTGACTTATTGAGTGAGTGACTGATTGAGTGAGTGAGTGGGTGAGTTTAGTGAGTGAGTGAGTGGGCGAATGAGTGAGTGAATGAATGAGTGAGTGGGCGAGTAAGTGAGTGACTGATTGAGTGAGTGCCTGATTGAGTGAGTGACTGATTGAGTGAGTGAATGAGTGAGTGAGTGGGCGAGTGGGTGAATGAGTGAATTAGTGAGTGAGTGGGCGAGTGATTGAGTGGGCGAGTGAGTGAGTGTGTGGGTGAGTGAGTGACTAACTGAGTGAGTGACTGATTGAGTGAGTGAATGAGTAAGTGAGTGGGCGAGTGAGTGAATAAGTGAATTAGTCAGTGAGTGGGCGAGTGAGTGAGTGTGTGGGTGAGTGAGTGACTGACTGAGCGAGTGACTGATTAAGTGAGTGACTGATTGAGTGAGTGACTGATTGAGTGAGTGACTGATTGAGTGAGTGACTGAGTGAGTGAGTGGGCGAGTGAGTGAGTGGGCGAGTGAGTGAGTGTGTGGGTGAGTGAGTGAGTGAGTGGGCGAGTGAGTGAGTGTGTGGGTGAGTGACTGACTAAGCGAGTGACTGATTGAGTGAGTGACTGACTGAGTGAGTGAATCAGTGAGTGAATTGGCGAGTGAGTGAATGAGTGAATGAGTGAGTGGGCGAGTGAGTGATTGGGCGAGTGAGTGAGTGAATTTGTGGGTGAGTGACTGACTGAGCGAGTGACTGATTGAGTGAGTGACTGATTAAGTGAGTGACTGATTGAGTGAGTGACTGATTGAGTGAGTGACTGATTGAGTAAGTGAGTTTAGTGAGTGTGTGACTTTGTGTGTGTACTCACCCTCTCTCTCTCTGTGTCTCACTGCGTGTCTCCAGCCCTAGCTGCGTGTCCTCTGACGTGCGACGATCCGGACCTCGCCGGACCTGGAACCGGTCCCGGCCCGAACCATCAACCCAACTGCAACTCCACCGACCGCCCAAAGGCAAAGGTCGCCCGGGTAGCCTCTTGACGGGCACGGCCAGGGGCGTGGGAGGAGGCGCGCTTAGCTCACGTGGGGTGCACAAGAAGTTGAACGCTAGACCCATAGACTCATCACACAGCAGAGACCCATAGACTCATCACACAGCAGAGACCCATAAACTCATCACACAGCAGAGAGCCATAGACTCATCACACAGCAGAGACCCATAGACTCATCACACAGAGAGACCCATAGACTCATCACACAGCAGAGACCCATAGACTCATCACACAGCAGAGACCCATAGACTCATCACACACAGAGACCCATAGACTCATCACACACAGAGATACATAGACTCATCACACAGCAGAGAGCCATAGACTCATCACACAGCAGAGAGCCATAGACTCATCACACAGCAGAGACCCATAGACTCATCACACAGCAGAGACCCATAGACTCATCACACAGCAGAGAGCCATAGACTCATCACACAGCAGAGACCCATAGACTCATCAGACAGCAGAGAGCCATAGACTCATCACACAGCAGAGACCCATAGACTCATCACACAGCAGAGAGCCATAGACTCATCACACAGCAGAGACCCCTAGACTCATCAGACAAAGGTCCCCCGTGTAGCCTCAGGCAGATTGTTGGGGCAAGTGTTAGTAACGAGTAGCAGCAGCGCCTGCACACACAGAGGGGGTGTGTGGGCCAGTAACAACACGCCACGCCCGACCGCCTTTGTCTCTCCCCATTGGCGATGTTGACTAAACACCGTCAACAGATAACTCCATTGTGTGGGTGTGGGGAGTGGTGGTGTCGCACAGTAGGGGGCACAGGTGGTGCATCAGCCAGTCATCTCAGTCAGTCGACCCGTGGCACCTGGGTCTGCCCCGTGACCTCCTGCCAGCGGGCGTTCGACACTTCACGTGGCCTCAGGGTGCACATAGCCTGGCACAAGCGTCGTGGTGACGTCACCGCCACTTAGTGGCGAATGGCGGTTGTTGTTGGTGCCGCATTGTACTGAGACCTGAGTTGGATTCCCACTCACGGCCACCACCACCACCACCATCATCATCAACACCACCCTCACACTCATCATCATCATCATCAACACCACAATCATCAACACCACTGTCACCACCATCAACACCACCATCATCACCATCATCATCAACACCACCCTCACCACCATCATCACCACCATCATCACCATCATCAACACCACCCTCACCACCATCATCACCACCCTCACCACCATCATCACCACCATCATCACCATCATCATCAACACCACCCTCACAATCATCATCATCATCAACACCACAATCATCAACACCACTGTCACCACCATCAACACCACCACCATCAACATCATCAACACCACCCTCACCACCATCAACACCATCATCAACACCACCCTCACCACCATCATCACCACCATCATCACCATCATCATCAACACCACCCTCACCACCATCATCACCACCATCATCACCATCATCATCAACACCACCCTCACCACCATCATCACCACCATCATCACCATCATCATCAACACCACCCTCACCACCATCATCACCACCATCATCACCATCATCATCAACACCACCCTCACCACCATCATCACCACCCTCACCACCATCATCATCATCAACACCACCCTCACCACCATCATCACCACCATCATCACCACCATCATCATCAACACCCTCACCATCATCACCATCATCATCATCAACACCACCCTCACCACCATCATCACCACTACCATCATCATCATCAACACCACCCTCACCACCGTCAACACCACCCTCACCACCATCACCGCCACCACCATCATCATCACCACCATCATCATCATCAACACCGTCACCACCACCACCATCATCATCATCAACACCACCCTCACACTCATCATCATCATCAACACCACCATCACCACCATCATCGTCATCATCAACACCATCACCACCATCACCACCATCACCATCATCACCATCACCACCATCACCACCATCACCGCCACCACCATCAACACCATCACCACCATCACCGCCACCACCATCACCACCTTCACCGCCACCACCATCACCACCATCATCTTCATCAACACCATCACCACCATCACCATCACCACCATCACCATCACCACCATCACCATCACCACCATCAACACCATCACCACCATCATCATCACCATCACCATAACCACCATCATCATCAACACCATCACCACCATCAGCACCACCACCATCATCACCATCATTACCACCAACATCATCAACACCTCCCTCACCACCATCAACACCACACTCACCACCATCAACACCACCCTCACCACCCTCACCACCATCATCACCACCATCACCGCCACCACCATCATCACCATCATCATCAACATCATCACCACCACCACCATCATCACCATCACCACCACCATCATCACCATCATCACCACCATCACCACTATCATCATCATCATCACCACCATCATCATCAACACCACCCTCACCACCCTCACCACCATCATCACCACCATCACCGCCACCACCATCATCACCATCATCATCAACATCATCACCACCATCACCACCACCATCATCACCATCACCACCACCATCATCACCATCATCACCACCATCACCACTATCATCATCATCACCACCATCACCACCACCATCATCATCATCATCACCACCATCACCATCATCACCATCACCACCACCATCATCACCATCACCACCATCATCATCAACACCACCCTCACCACCATCATCACCACCGTCACCATCACCACCATCATCATCATCACCATCATCATCACCCACCACCATCACCACCATCATCATCACCACCATCATCACCACCAAAATCATCATCATCACCACCACCACCATCACCACCACCATCACCACCACCATCATCATTACCACCATCATCACCACTACTACCACCATCAGCACCATCACCAACACCACCATCACCACCATAACCACCACCGTCAAATCACCTTAAATAAATAACGGGGGTACAATAGACAATTGTTTAATTCTTTATTAAATCAACGGTTAGCGACACAACATTTCACACATTTGTCCGCAATATTTGCGCAATGCAGTGACAAATTACGGTTACAGAACCATACAAATAATCACGAGACTAGGGCTCGAACCCAGCCTCCCAGTGTCTCTGACACGGCCATCGTGAACCCCCTGAGAGAGACAGAGACACCCAGACCCAGGGCTTGAACCCAGACTCTCAGTGTCTCTGACACGGCCATCGTGAACCCCCTGACAGAGAGAGACACCCAGACCCAGGGCTTGAACCCAGCCTCTCAGTGTCTCTGACACGGCCATCGTGAACCCCCTGACAGAGACACCCAGACCCAGGGCTTGAACCCAGGCTCTCAGTGTCTCTGACACGGCCATCGTGAACCCCCTGAGACACCCAGACCCAGGGCTTGAACCCAGACTCTTAGTGTCTCTGACACGGCCATCGTGAACCCCCTGAGAGAGAGAGAGACACCCAGACCCAGGGCTTGAACCCAGGCCCTCAGTGTCTCTGACACGGCCATCGTGAACCCCCTGAGAGAGAGAGACACCCAGACCCAGGGCTTGAACCCAGGCTCTCAGTGTCTCTGACACGGCCACTGTGAACCCCCTGAGAGAGACACCCAGACCCAGGGCTTGAACCCAGACTCTCAGTGTCTCTGACACGGCCATCGTGAACCCCCTGAGACACCCAGACCCAGGGCTTGAACCCAGACTCTCAGTGTCTCTGACACGGCCATCGTGAACCCCCTGAGAGAGAGAGAGAGACACCCAGACCCAGGGCTTGAACCCAGGCTCTCAGTGTCTCTGACACGGCCATCGTGAACCCCCTGAGAGAGACACCCAGACCCAGGGCTTGAACCCAGACTCTCAGTGTCTCTGACACGGCCATCGTGAACCCCCTGAGAGAGAGACACCCAGACCCAGGGCTTGAACCCAGACTCTCAGTGTCTCTGACACGGCCATCGTGAACCCCCTGAGAGAGAGAGACACCCAGACCCAGGGCTTGAACCCAGGCTCTCAGTGTCTCTGACACGGCCATCGTGAACCCCCTGAGAGAGAGAGAGACACCCAGACCCAGGGCTTGAACCCAGACTCTCAGTGTCTCTGACACGGCCATCGTGAACCCCCTGAGAGAGAGAGAGACACCCAGACCCAGGGCTTGAACCCAGACTCTCAGTGTCTCTGACACGGCCATCGTGAACCCCCTGAGAGAGAGAGACACCCAGACCCAGGGCTTGAACCCAGGCTCTCAGTGTCTCTGACACGGCCATCGTGAACCCCCTGAGAGAGAGACACCCAGACCCAGGGCTTGAACCCAGACTCTCAGTGTCTCTGGACACGGCCATCGTGAACCCCCTGACAGAGAGAGACACCCAGACCCAGGGCTTGAACCCAGGCTCTCAGTGTCTCTGACACGGCCATCGTGAACCCCCTGACAGAGAGAGACACCCAGACCCAGGGCTTGAACCCAGGCTCTCAGTGTCCCTGACACGGCCGCTATGAACCCCCTGAGAGAGAGAGACACCCAGACCCAGGGCTTGAACCCAGGCTCTCAGTGTCTCTGACACGGCCGCTATGAACCCCCTCACCCCCCCCCCCCGTCTTAGACGGTCAATGTGACCCTACGCGTGGAAGTGAAATATTCACTTTGTCTGTGCTTCGTTTCAACCCGTTAAGAAAATAAAACAAAGATACCCGTCGCCCGAGGCAGGGCGAGGATTCGTTCCTCAACTTCACTCACCGCCCACAAGCCCACCGATACATTTACGAATAAATCTGGTCTTGGACGCAGCTACCAATAAAGTTATACTAATGTGGTCTAGCACAGCTACCAATAAAGTTATACCAAAATTTGTCAAGAAGAGCTACCAATAAAGTTATGCTATCAAAGTACAGAGCCACCAATAGAGTTAAACTAACAAAGTACATCGCTACCAATAAAGTTATACTAACAAGTACTTAGCTACGCATAAAGTTATACAAAGTTTGTCTTGTATAGCTACCAATAAAGTTATAGTAACAAGTCCATAGCTACCAATAAAGTTATACTAACAACTACATCGCTACCAATAAAGTTATACTAACAACTACATCGCTACCAATAAAGTTATACTAACAAGTGCATTTCTACGCGTAAAGTTATACTAAGTTTGTCTAGTATAGCTACCAATAAAGTTATGCTATCAAGTACATAGCCTCCAATAAAATTATACTAACAAAGTACATCGCTACCAATAAAGTTATACTAACAAAGTACATAGCTACCAATAAAGTTATACTATCAAGTTCATAGCTACCAATAAAGTTATACTAACAAGTACATGGTTACCAATAAGGTTAATACACCAATCCGGTTCGGCTAGTATTCCAACTGGTAAAGTTCAACTTACAAATAAAATGCATTTATCTTAAAACGAAAACTGCATCATCATCATCATTACAATAATAAAAACAACAATTGTATAAAACTACAACTAAGCTCTCTACAAGCTACAAGCCGAGTGAACTCTGTTACAGGTTAAGACTTCAAATAATTCCCCTTAACATGCTGCTCAACGAAATGACCGCTAGTTACCAGCTGGTTACAGCTAGTTACCAGCTGGTTACCGCTAGTTACCAGCTAGTTACCAGCTGGTTACAGCTAGTTACCAGCTGGTTACCACTAATCACCGTCTGGTCACCCATCCGGTAAATCATCTGGTCAGTCACCTGATCACCCAATCACCCAACCATCTGGTCAGTCACCTGATCACCCAGTCACCCAATCATCTGGTCAGTCACCTGATCACCCAATGACCCAATCATCTGGTCAGTCACCTGATCAGTCACCTGATCACCCAATGACCCAATCATCTGGTCAGTGACCTGATCACCCAATGACCCAATCATCTGGTCAGTCACCTGATCAGTCACCTGATCACCCAATGACCCAATCATCTGGTCAGTCACCTGATCACCCAATCACCCAATCATCTGGTCAGTCATCTTGGCAGTCACCTGATCACCCAATCACCCAATCATCTGGTCGGTCCCCTTATCACCCAATCACCCAATCATCTGGTCAGTCACCTGATCACCCAATCACCCAATCATCTGGTCAGTCCCCTTATCACCCAATCACCCAATCATCTGGTCAGTGACCTGATCACCCAATCACCCAATCATCTGGTCAGTGACCTGATCACCCAATCACCCAATCATCTGGTCAGTCACCTGATCACCCAATCACCCAATCATCTGGTCAGTCCCCTTATCACCCAATCACCCAATCATCTGGTCAGTGACCTGATCACCCAATCACCCAATCATCTGGTCAGTGACCTGATCACCCAATCACCCAATCATCTGGTCAGTCACCTGATCACCCAATCACCCAATCATCTGGTCAGTCACCCAATCATCTGGTCAGTCACCCAATCATCTGGTCAGTCACCCAATCATCTGGTCAGTCACCCAATCATCTGGTCAGTCACCTGCTCAGCCACCCAACCAATCACCTCCTCTCAACGTCCCGCCCCAACGTCCCCCCTCAACGTCCCCTCAACGTCCGCCCGGCGTCGCGCGTCGCGGGCGCGGCGCAGGTGCACGCCACGGCGACGTGCACCCAGCCGGGCACGAGGGCGACGCGCCCCAGGGCGCACGGCACCCTGCGGAGGACGCCGGCGGCGGCCGTGACGGGCACGGAGGCCCAGGCGAGGTCGTGGCGCTGCCGGGAGGCGTCCACACAGCCCGGGCAGAGGCACTGTGCCTCGGGGAGTCTCGCGGGGACCCGGGAGGGGTCCTCGTTCATCCTGGGGGCGGGGGGGGTGTGGGTGGGGGGGGTGGGTGAAGGGTGGGTGGGTGGGTGAGTGAGTGGGTGGGTGGGTGAAGGGGTGAGTGGGTGGGTGGGTGAATGGGTGGGTGGGTGAGTGAGTGGGTGGGTGGGTGAAGGTGTGAGTGGGTGAAGGGGTGAGTGGGTGGGTGGGTGAAGGGGTGAGTGGGTGGGTGGGTGGGTGAAGGGGTGAGTGGGTGGGTGGGTGAAGGGGTGAGTGGGTAATTGGGTGGGTGGGTGAATGGGTGGGTGGGTGAGTGGGTAAATGGGTGGGTGGGTGAAGGGGTGAGTGGGTGGGTGGGTGGGTGAAGGGGTGAGTGGGTGGGTGAAGGGGTGAGTGGGTGGGTGGGTGAATGGGTGGGTGGGTGAGTGAGTGGGTGGGTGGGTGAAGGTGTGAGTGGGTAATTGGGTGGGTGGGTGAAGGGGTGAGTGGATGGGTGGGTGAAGGGGTGAGTGGGTGGGTGGGTGAGTGAGTGGGTGGGTGAAGGGGTGAGTGGGTGGGTGGGTGAATGGGTGGGTGAAGGGGTGAGTGGGTAAATGGGTGGGTGGGTGAAGGGGTGAGTGGGTGGGTGGGTGAAGGCGTGAGTGGGTGGGTGGTTGGGTGAAGGGGTGAGTGGGTGGGTGGGTGAAGGGGTGAGTGGGTAATTGGGTGGGTGGGTGAATGGGTGGGTGGGTGAGTGGGTAAATGGGTGGGTGGGTGAAGGGGTGAGTGGGTGGATGGGTGGGTGAGTGAGTGAGTGGGTGGGTGAAGGGGTGAGTGGGTGGGTGGGTGAATGGGTGGGTGGGTGAGTGAGTGGGTGGGTGGGTGAAGGTGTGAGTGGGTAATTGGGTGGGTGGGTGAAGGGGTGAGTGGGTGGGTGGGTGAAGGGGTGAGTGGGTGGGTGGGTGGGTGAAGGGGTGAGTGGGTGGGTGGGTGGGTGAGTGAGTGAGTGGGTGGGTGAAGGGGTGAGTGGGTGGGTGGGTGGGTGAAGGGGTGAGTGGGTGGGTGAGTGAGTGAGTGGGTGGGTGGGTGAAGGTGTGAGTGGGTGGGTGGGTGAAGGGGTGAGTGGGTAATTGGGTGGGTGGGTGAATGGGTGGGTGGGTGAGTGGGTAAATGGGTGGGTGGGTGAAGGGGTGAGTGGGTGGGTGGGTGGGTGAAGGGGTGAGTGGGTGGGTGAAGGGGTGAGTGGGTGGGTGGGTGAATGGGTGGGTGGGTGAGTGAGTGGGTGGGTGGGTGAAGGTGTGAGTGGGTAATTGGGTGGGTGGGTGAAGGGGTGAGTGGATGGGTGGGTGAAGGGGTGAGTGGGTGGGTGGGTGAGTGAGTGGGTGGGTGAAGGGGTGAGTGGGTGGGTGGGTGAATGGGTGGGTGAAGGGGTGAGTGGGTAAATGGGTGGGTGGGTGAAGGGGTGAGTGGGTGGGTGGGTGAAGGCGTGAGTGGGTGGGTGGTTGGGTGAAGGGGTGAGTGGGTGGGTGGGTGAAGGGGTGAGTGGGTAATTGGGTGGGTGGGTGAATGGGTGGGTGGGTGAGTGGGTAAATGGGTGGGTGGGTGAAGGGGTGAGTGGGTGGGTGGGTGGGTGAGTGAGTGAGTGGGTGGGTGAAGGGGTGAGTGGGTGGGTGGGTGAATGGGTGGGTGGGTGAGTGAGTGGGTGGGTGGGTGAAGGTGTGAGTGGGTAATTGGGTGGGTGGGTGAAGGGGTGAGTGGGTGGGTGGGTGAAGGGGTGAGTGGGTGGGTGGGTGGGTGAAGGGGTGAGTGGGTGGGTGGGTGGGTGAGTGAGTGAGTGGGTGGGTGAAGGGGTGAGTGGGTGGGTGGGTGGGTGAAGGGGTGAGTGGGTGGGTGAGTGAGTGAGTGGGTGGGTGGGTGAAGGTGTGAGTGGGTGGGTGGGTGAAGGTGTGAGTGGGTAATTGGGTGGGTGGGTGAAGGGGTGAGTGGGTGGGTGGGTGAAGGGGTGAGTGGGTGGGTGGGTGGGTGAAGGGGTGAGTGGGTGGGTGGGTGAAGGGGTGAGTGGGTAATTGGGTGGGTGGGTGAAGGGGTGAGTGGGTGGGTGGGTGGGTGAAGGGGTGAGTGGGTGGGTGGGTGAAGGGGTGAGTGGGTAATTGGGTGGGTGGGTGAATGGGTGGGTGGGTGAGTGGGTAAATGGGTGGGTGGGTGAAGGGGTGAGTGGGTGGGTGGGTGGGTGAGTGAGTGAGTGGGTGGGTGAAGGGGTGAGTGGGTGGGTGGGTGAATGGGTGGGTGGGTGAGTGAGTGGGTGGGTGGGTGAAGGTGTGAGTGGGTAATTGGGTGGGTGGGTGAAGGGGTGAGTGGGTGGGTGGGTGGGTGAAGGGCTGAGTGGGTGGGTGGGTGAAGGTGTGAGTGGGTAATTGGGTGGGTGGGTGAAGGGGTGAGTGGGTGGGTGGGTGAAGGCGTGAGTGGGTGGGTGGTTGGGTGAAGGGGTGAGTGGGTGGGTGGGTGAAGGGGTGAGTGGGTAATTGGGTGGGTGGGTGAATGGGTGGGTGGGTGAGTGGGTAAATGGGTGGGTGGGTGAAGGGGTGAGTGGGTGGGTGGGTGGGTGAGTGAGTGAGTGGGTGGGTGAAGGGGTGAGTGGGTGGGTGGGTGAATGGGTGGGTGGGTGAGTGAGTGGGTGGGTGGGTGAAGGTGTGAGTGGGTAATTGGGTGGGTGGGTGAAGGGGTGAGTGGGTGGGTGGGTGAAGGGGTGAGTGGGTGGGTGGGTGGGTGAAGGGGTGAGTGGGTGGGTGGGTGGGTGGGTGAGTGAGTGAGTGGGTGGGTGAAGGGGTGAGTGGGTGGGTGGGTGGGTGAAGGGGTGAGTGGGTGGGTGAGTGAGTGAGTGGGTGGGTGGGTGAAGGTGTGAGTGGGTGGGTGGGTGAAGGTGTGAGTGGGTAATTGGGTGGGTGGGTGAAGGGGTGAGTGGGTGGGTGGGTGAAGGGGTGAGTGGGTGGGTGGGTGGGTGAAGGGGTGAGTGGGTGGGTGGGTGAAGGGGTGAGTGGGTAATTGGGTGGGTGGGTGAAGGGGTGAGTGGGTGGGTGGGTGGGTGAAGGGGTGAGTGGGTGGGTGGGTGAAGGGGTGAGTGGGTAATTGGGTGGGTGGGTGAATGGGTGGGTGGGTGAGTGGGTAAATGGGTGGGTGGGTGAAGGGGTGAGTGGGTGGGTGGGTGGGTGAGTGAGTGAGTGGGTGGGTGAAGGGGTGAGTGGGTGGGTGGGTGAATGGGTGGGTGGGTGAGTGAGTGGGTGGGTGGGTGAAGGTGTGAGTGGGTAATTGGGTGGGTGGGTGAAGGGGTGAGTGGGTGGGTGGGTGGGTGAAGGGCTGAGTGGGTGGGTGGGTGAAGGGGTGAGTGGGTAATTGGGTGGGTGGGTGAAGGGGTGAGTGGGTGGGTGGGTGAAGGCGTGAGTGGGTGGGTGGTTGGGTGAAGGGGTGAGTGGGTGGGTGGGTGAAGGGGTGAGTGGGTAATTGGGTGGGTGGGTGAATGGGTGGGTGGGTGAGTGGGTAAATGGGTGGGTGGGTGAAGGGGTGAGTGGGTGGGTGGGTGGGTGAGTGAGTGAGTGGGTGGGTGAAGGGGTGAGTGGGTGGGTGGGTGAATGGGTGGGTGGGTGAGTGAGTGGGTGGGTGGGTGAAGGTGTGAGTGGGTAATTGGGTGGGTGGGTGAAGGGGTGAGTGGGTGGGTGGGTGAAGGGGTGAGTGGGTGGGTGGGTGGGTGAAGGGGTGAGTGGGTGGGTGGGTGAAGGGGTGAGTGGGTAATTGGGTGGGTGGGTGAAGGGGTGAGTGGGTGGGTGGGTGAAGGGGTGAGTGGGTGGGTGGGTGAAGGGGTGAGTGGGTAATTGGGTGGGTGGGTGAATGGGTGGGTGGGTGAGTGGGTAAATGGGTGGGTGGGTGAAGGGGTGAGTGGGTAGGTGGGTGGGTGAGTGGGTGGGTGGATGAATGGGTAAATGGGTGGGTGGGTGAGTGGGTGAATGGGTAAATGGGTGGGTGGGTGGTTGAGTGGGTGGGTGGGTGAATGGGTAAATGGGTGAGTGGGTGGGTGTGTCGATGAGTGGGTGAGTGGGTGGGTGAGTGGGTGGGTGAGTGGGTGGGTAGGTGGGTGAGTGGGTGAGTGAGTGGGTGGGTGATGCTGACGATGCTGAGAGGAGGCAGCAACTGACCGGTAGGTCCAGGGAGAGAGGGAGCGGTCGCGCAGCAAGGAGCTCTTCAGCAGTTCGGGAGACCACCGAGGGCAGTCCAGCGCTGGCGCGGAGGCCGCTGATGATGCTGCCTCTAGATCTGGGTGGTGGGTGGGTGGGTGAGTGAGTGGGTGGGTGTGTGGGTGGGTGGGTGGGTGAGTGAGGTGGGTGGGTGAGTGGGTGAGTGGGTGGGTGAGTGGGTGGGTGAGTGGGTGGGTGAGTGAGTGGGTGGGTGAGTGAGTGAGTGGGTAAGTGATTGAGTGGGTGAGTGAGGTGGGTGGGTGGGTGAGTGGGTGGGTGGGTGAGTGAGTGGGTGGGTGGATGAGTGGGTGGGTGGGAGAGGGAGTGAGTGGGTGGGTGGGTGGGTGAGTTGGTGGGTGAGTGGGTGGGTGAGTGGGTGGGTGAGGAGGTGGTGGTTGGGATGGAAGATGTCGTTAGTGAGTTGGTAGCCACGGGGCCGGAGGTCACTGAGAACCTGGGTCTGGTCTCTCTGTCTGTCACAAAGCACCCAGAACCACGCCCACCACCACCACCACCACCTCTACCACCACTACCGCCACATCCACCACCACTACCACCATAACCTCCACCACCACCGCCACAACCACCACCACCTCCACCACCTCCACCACCTCCACCACCACCACTACCACTTCCACCAGCTCCACCACCATCACCTCCACCACCACCACCGCCACAACAACCATCACCACCACCACCACCACCTCTACCACCTCCAATAGCTCCACCACCACCCCCACCACCTCCACCACCACCACCACCACCTCCACCACCACCTCCACCACCACCACCTCCACCACCACCACCACCTCCACCACCACCACCACCACCACCACCTCCACCACCACCACCTCCACCTCCACCACCACCTCCACCACCTCCACCACCACCACCACCACCACCACCTCCACCCCTCCTCACCGTTGGCGCTCTCCAACAACTCCCGTACGGAGTGTGGCAGGTAAAGGCGCTTGAGGAGGACCTCGTCCGGAACGTCGGCCTGGCACTCGGGCCCCGTCCAGAGGCCGTCGGGCCCCACGTGGCGGCCTCCGTCGGCGGCCTCCCACTGGCCTGCTGATGAGGACGCCGCTGACGCTGACTGCTGATGATGATGCTGGTGGTGGTGGCGGTGGTGGTGGTTGGATTTCCGGGAACATTGAGCCACCACCACGAGGAGGAGGAGGAGGAGGGTGGTGGTGGTCAGCAGCGTCTGGGGGGGGGAGAGGGGGGGAGGAGGGGGGAGGAGGGGGGGGAGATGTCATCTTCATCATCGGTGATCATGGTTGTTGTTGTTGTTCAGGTTGAAGTGGGTGAGATGAGTAGGGTGAGTGGATGAATAGCGCTAACTACGACACTACCGCTCCCCACACACACGCAGACACACACAGATAACAACAACAACAACCGCCATTCGCCAAAAAGTGGCGGTGACGTCACCACGACGCTTGTGCCAGGCTATGTGCACCCTGAGGCCACGTGAAGTGTCGAACGCCCGCTGGCAGGAGGTCATGGGGCAGACCCAGGTGCCACGGGTCGACTGACTGAGACGAGTGGCTGATGCACCACCTGTGCCCCCTACTGTGCCAATCTGCTGTGCTTTAGCCACCCGGCGCTCCGCTCGTTGTTGTGAGCGTCGCTCCTCCGCCCTCCGTTGTTGTTGGAGGGCGACTGCCTCCAACTGCCCAGTAGCGTACTTCACGAGCCTCCTCCACAGAGGCCGATCTTGACACCGCTGGTACCAGTCATCGGCAAGTCCACTCAGCTCCACGTCCTCCTGTACCACGTCACTCCATCTCTTCTCTAGCCCGTGCCGAGCCCGTTTAGCCCCCTCGATCCGGCCGAACAAAAGTTGTTTTCGGCATGAGGTGGCTGGGCATGCGGGCTACATGACCCTGCCAACGCAGCCTTGCCTGCCAGAGGAGCTCATCGATGGGACCTTGCCCAGATCTTTCAAGGATTTGTGAGCTCGTCACACAATCCAGCCTGGTTAAACCCAGGATGGATCGTAGGCAGGCTAGCCTAAATTTTTCTAATCGACGAAGATGTCCCATTAGGGGGGTCCACGTTTCGCAAGCGTAGAGAAGGGAGGGAATGACCGTGGCCGAGAACACCTGAAGCTTAGTGCGGAGCGACAGACCAGGTAGCTTGCACACAGCGTTACGCAACCGATGAAAAGATATTGCCGCTCGACTGATTCGGAGTGAGACCTCTGCTGTTAAACTGGAGCCGGTCATAAGCACACTGCCCAGGTTTGGGAAACTCTCCATTCTCTCCACAACTGCCCCATCACCGGGAGTTGTGGGAGTTGTGGGGGTGGAGTGTCCGATGGTACAAAATACACAGGCAGGTGCTTAGTTTTGGTGGGGCTGATGGTAAGGCCCCATCTCTTAGTGGTACGCTCCAGTCTCAGCAGCAGTATCTCCAACTCCTCCTCTGAATGAGCAGCTATTACCAATTCATCGGCATACATAACGTGGTTGAGCAATAGGGAGCCATCCCTTGACTGCACCCGGGCATCGATCAGCCTCCCATTATATCTGTACCAAATGGAGATTCCCCCGGTACAGCTATTGAAGGCTTCACGAACTACGTGGTCAAAATAGTTGTTAAATAATGTGGGAGCCAGAGGACATCCCTGTCGCACCCCAAGGTGTACAGGGAATGGCTCTGACTCCCGGTGACATAGTTTTACCCGGGCCCGCTCACCATCATGAAGGTCCTTAATGAGCGTGAGCAGAGGTTCAGGGACTCCAAAAGGACGAAGAACAACCCAGAGCCCAGGCCTTCTGATGGTATCATAGACCTTGACCAGGTCAATAAAGCAGAGATGTAGGTCTTGCTGGAATTCCCTACACCTCTGCTGTAGCAGACAGACAGAAAATATGGCATCTGTGCAGGACCGCCCTTTCCTGAAACCGCATTGGGGCTCCGCAAGCCTCTCCTCAGCGTGCCTGGCAAGGCGATGTTGAATAATCCTTGCCAGGACCTTTCCCGGCCCACTGAGGAGTGAGATGCCCCTGTAGTTGTTACAGTCTGTGCGGTCCCCCTTCTTAAAAAGGGGGACCACCAGGGCATCCTTCTAATCCTGCGGAACCCGTCCAGTGGTCCAGACTGTTGTTATGATGTCATATAGGGCAGTCTGTGTACAAACGCCACCCTCCCTCAGCATTTCCCTTGGGCGATCATCTCTGGCCGCTGCCTTTCCTGGTCTCAGACTCCGGATCGCCTTCAGTACTTCCTCAACAGATGGCACCTCAGCCAGCCACTCACAGGGGGTGACTTCTTCCAATATTTGAGGCACCGCAGCCTCAGCAGGGTCATCCCCACTTTGTGCCACGATGTTTTCCTGGCTGAGGGATTTTCCCTCCCCCAGAACCTCACAGAAATGCTCAGCAAATCTGCAAACCTGTCCCTGGGGGTCGGAAATTGGATCACCGTTTTTTCCCCTAATGATGGTAATAGGTGTGGCGCTGCAGGTTACTTTTTTGATGGAGTTAAATAGCGATTTGTGATCGCGGCCACTGAGGCAGACTCCATCTCCTCAGCAACCTGCGACCACCACCCATCCTTGCAGCGCCTCACGGCTCTCTGAACCTCCGAGCGAAGGCTGCGGTAAGCCTCCTCATTCTCTGACGTGGGATTCTGTAGCCTATGACAGTGGGCCTGTCGCTTTTTCTCAACCATCCTGAACACCTCCTCTGTCAGCCAGGGTCTCTGGGGAGGTCTGGACCGTGTACCCAAAGCAGCCAATGCAGCTGCATGAGTCACAGTCCTAAACCTCGCCCATTTACCCTCGACACACACACAGACACACACACACACACAGACACACACATACACACACAGACACACACACATACACACACAGACACACACACACAGACACACACACAGACACACACACAGACACACACACACAGACACACACACAGACACACACACATACACACACAGACACACACACACAGACACACACACATACACACACAGACACACACAGACACACACACACAGACACACACAGACAAACACAGACACACACAGTCACACACACAGACACACACACACAGAAACACAGACACACACAGACACACACATAGACACACACAGACACACACACAGTCACACACACACAGACACACACAGACACACACAGTCACACACACACAGACACACACAGACACACACACAGACACACACAGACACACAGACACACACAGACACACACACACAGACACACACAGACACACACAGACACACACACAGACACACACAGACACACACACAGACACACACACAGACACACAGACACACACAGACACACACACAGCCAGATATCTATGTACGGGTTCTGCATAGTTGAAGTCTGTGACCGTAACACAACAAACATGGCTACGATGTCTCCCTCTCCCCACGTTGCTATGAGCAACGGCGTTGTTGATGGTGGTGTTTGTGGTGGTGGTGGCTGTGGTGGTGGTTGTGGTGGTGGTGGCTGTGGTGGTGGTGGCTGTGGTTGTGGTGGAGGTGGTTGTGGTGGAGGTGGTTGTGGTGGTTGTGGTGGTTGTGCTTCTGGTGGTTGTGGTGGTGGCTGTGGCTGTGGTGGTAGTGGTGGTTGTGGTGGTTGTAGTAGTTGTGGTGGTGGCTGTGGCTGTGGTGGTTGTGGTGGTTGTGGTGGTGGTGGCTGTGGTGGTTGTGGTGGTGGTGGTGGTTGTGGTGGTGGTGGTGGCTGTGGTGGTGGCTGTGGTGGTTATGGTGGTTGTGGTGGCTGTGGTTGTGGTGGTTGTGGTGGTGGTGGTTGTGTAGTCATCAACTTGTGATGTCGGAGATTCTTAAAGAGTCAGACTAAAACTGGATAGACTCTGCTGCTAAACACACAGACACACAGACACACACACACAGACAGACACACAGACACACAGAGACACACAGACACACAGATACACAGAGACACACAGACACACACACAGACACACATACACAGACACACACAGATACACACGCACACACAGATACACACACAGAGACACAGACACACAGAGACACACAGAGAAACACAGAGACACACAGAGACACAGAGACACACAGATACACAGATACACAGAGACACACAGAGACACACACAGACACAGACACACACAGACACACACAGACACACAGATACACACAGACACACAGACACACACAGATACACACACAGAGGCACAGACACACAGAGACACACAGACACACACACAGACACACAGAGACACACAGACACACAGAGACACACAGAGACACACAGACACACACACACAGACACACACAGACACACACAGACACACAGATACACACAGACACACAGACACACACAGATACACACACAGAGGCACAGACACACAGAGACACACAGAGACACACAGACACACACACAGACACACACACAGACACACAGAGACACACAGACACACAGAGACACACAGAGACACACAGACACACACACAGACACACAGACACACACATAGACACACAGAGACACACAGACACACAGACACACACACAGAGACACGCACAAAGACACACAGACACACAGAGACACACACAGAGACACAGACACACACAGACACACACAGAGACACATAGACACACAGAGACACACAGACACACAGAGACACACACGGAGACACACACAGAGACACAGAGACACACAGAGACACGCACACAGACACACACACAGACACACACAGACACACACACAGACACACAGACACACACACACAGAGACACACACAGAGACACACAGACACACAGGGACACACACAGAGACACAGACACACAGAGACACACACAGAGACACACATACACAGACACACACAGACACACACACACAGAGACACACAGAGACACGCACACAGACACACACACAGACACACACAGACACACACACAGACACACAGACACACACACACAGAGACACACACACAGACACACACACACAGACATACACACACAGACACACAGAGACACACACAGAGACACACATATATACACACAGAGACACAGAGATACATAGATACA